GAAAGTTAAGTATAGAAGTTAGGGTTGACTTAGAATAATCAAATACTTGGCAATTTGCTATGAGGAGCTTTATTCGATGGACAGGTTCACAGTGGAATCATTGCAGTTTCGGGACAATGTGTTTATGAATCAAAGGATTTTTTAATTCGGGCTGTAAGAGGGTGCTGAATGTCAGATTTTATAAGCTATTTTGGTATAAATGTATTAATTATTTAATAAGGCACTTGCATAAGAATGTGGCACTATTTTTTTCAAGTTATGAAGGGTTCTCTGTCAAAATTGGGAGGAGGAAACACTGTGGGGGGTTTATTACAGAAGCTACAGATTATATTCAGCTACAAAATAAGCCTGAAAAGCTGAAAATCATTACAGAAGTACAGAGAGTTGTTGCATAGTGATGATGCATCGTCCCCTCTAGTTGCATTGGTGTGAACCAGCAGGTTTTTAGAATGTTGCAGAATGGCACATTGCAAATAGTTGCCTGTTTCAACTCGTCTCATTGTGAATCGTTGGTCTGAACTTGGTTTAAAATCTCATACCGGAGTGGCATGATGCCCTTGTTGTTTGGTTATGTGTAAATATCCAAAGGAGGCATAAAAAAGGGACTTTGCAGCAGCTCTACAGGGTATATCTCTCTCCCTCACTATGTGTCATGTTTTGTTTGTCGATCTCTTCCGCCCCCCTTTAGTACTGTGGGTGGCGTTGCTGCCACACCTACATAATCACCTACACACACACCCAACACACAACAAACAGTGGTGGATGGAATATGTTCTATTATAAAATATGTTCTTACAAGACAAATTTCTTAATTGGTAGTTTCAGCTCTTTTGTCTGGTGGAAAAAAAATATCTAAATTAATGTGAGAATATGGATCAATGAGGGCAAAAAACATGATATGACTGTCATTCAATGGAAGGCAATACTTGAAGGATCAGATTTGACTATGTAAATTCTTGGGGATGATGTACATACTGAAACTCTGGTAACTCCGGTATTGTCAAACCATAAATCCCGTGGTAGCTTTCCTGTATTGTAATATCTCTGTGTGTATCAGACCATCGCGGGCAATGTTGCAAATCAATGAGTGGGACTGTTGTCACTATATGTTACTATTGGATTTTAATCTGATATTTGCATTTCATCCCTTTGGTTAATTTGCCATACGACACTTACTGATTGAGTCTAGAAAACCTGCTATACCATGATGTATATTTAGATATATTGTAAAATACATACACCCTGATAGAGGATTTCATCAGTGTCATCCATCGGTAACACGAGTGTTACTATGGCATTTTATCCTCAACATGGAACATGTAATAGCCCATATCCTGTTTTTATCCCATCTATGTGTGAGGGTCTCAGTAAACAACCTTATCATAAGCGGGGAAAAACAAGAGACGTTAATCCTAACTAAATATAGCCTTTAGACAAGCTCTGCTCTGTGATTTACACATTAAAATATTCAGACTCTCCCCCCACAAAGCCTCCATCTTTCTTCTTTCATCTTTCTCCATTGTTTCAAGGTTATTACAATGACGCATGTGATCACAACAATTTTCAGTCATTTTTTCTGTAGTTCTTTAAATCACAGAAGTTGCTGGTGACAAAGCACATTATGACAGAAGCCCCTGGCTAATCTGTACACATGTGGATAAGCATTCTGTATTTGTATTATTGAAGTGCGGTATATGCCAATTTAACATCCTCTGTTGTGTTTTTGTCTCTACAACATGATGAAACATCACACTCTGTATCCCTAATATTTTGACCATGACCACTGAAGGACACTTTTTGTGCGCTCAAGTTGTCTGTCACTTTGTGAAACTGAAACTGTCATCTGTAATCCCCTATGCAGCCCAATACTATGGAGGGTAACTACAACTAAAAACAGCCCAGCAGGGGACATGTCAGCATGTTTACATGCTTATTATTGACAGGGGAAGAAGGACAACCAAAATCTTATTTTCAGATAGAAGCACTAGAGTTGAACAGTTGGGGACATGGTGTCCTTTCTTCAAAGGAGTGTGCCAGTTTGTAAAAAGTGAACATACTGAAGACAAAGCTCATTATCTTGGAATTGTCTTTGTCTTCTGTCTCTGTAAACTTTTGTCTCACTGCACAAACATTATACCGTGGCGTGCAGTGGCTGATCCATGGCGTTTGCCTGAGTGTTTTTAATTTTACACTGAGGACTGAAAATTAGAATACATTTTTACTCAAACAGAACAGAACAGTTCAGAGAGGCTGAACATTTTGGAACAGATAGGTTTGACTTTTAGTCGTCATTCAGCCATTAGCCTACTTTCAAGAACCTGTGTTTGTCCCCATTCATATTGCTGCAGTGTTAATAGGTTATGCATCAATTATGTCAAAGGAATTTGTAAACAAAACTGACGTTACATTTTAGATGCAGAGGTCAGTCAGCAGTGATAAATCAGGTGCAGTGACTCTTTTTAGTGCCTTAAGGCTATAAAGACCTAACTGAATAAAACTCACTCCACAGGTCCAGTAAGCTGAAAATTCACTTCTCATTCAGTATGTTTACATGCACAGCTTAATCGAGCTATACTCAAAATTCGATTTTGGTGTCTAATCGGACTTCTGTCCTTGTCCCAGTTTACATGCAACTGAGAAAATCGAATTACTGACGGGAATGTGTCCTCCTCCTCAACACTAGGTGGCGATATGCGTCATTTCAGCGGGTTAATACGGCCTTTCCTGTTGACCTATTACATCACTTAATAATAAACAGCTGGAGTCAGGCGGCAGAATGTTATTTTCGAACAACAGCAAGATGGATAATCGTACAGCTTTGTTCATCTTGTACGTAATGTATGCGTTTCTGATTGTGCAGATAAGGTGCACGCTATCCCTCATGGTCATGGTGATTTCGAGAGGCAGACAAGAACACCGTATACTGTTGGAGGGCTACAACAATAGCATGTCTTGTCTGTTCCGGGGTCATACGCCAGTGCAGGTGTGGATCATACGCACATGCATTGTCTAGTTTAACTCTGATTAAGGCGTATACATGCCTGAGAAAATCGAATTCCAATCGCATTATCTGAGTGTCTTAATCGGAGTTGGAGAACTCCGATATTAGTCAGAGTAACGCGTTTACATGCACATGTACTTGTCCAGTTATAGTCGGATTAAGGCAATAATTCGGTTTTTTCAAGTGTCATGTAAACGTACTGATTGTATCAGACCATAGTATTGTATTGGAGCACGAGCCGTTGAGTTGGCATGGGCGATAGATCAAATATGATCGATGTATCGCGACTTGTTCCTCGTGGGATGTATAAAATGACTGTGTCGGGAACAGAAAGTATAAATGGTCACATGATTTTTTAAGCAACCAGCAAGAGACTTCAGCATTTTGGCTCTCTTGCTCTCTTCTGTAGCTCTCTCCGATTCACAGATACACATGAAAAGACTCACAGACATGATTCGTAACACACACTCCTCCGCCCATCCAGACCACTGTCTCCTGAGTGACTGTGAGCAGGCGAGGTGTGTTTGTCATCTGCAGGGCTCCAGACCACAATTACGTAGTTGCATTTTGCAACCATGGAGCACCACTGCAACTTGCAAGTATTATTAATAAATTGACTGGAGAGCTGTTAGTTTGTTTCCAGCTTACAGTGAATAAATCTTAATGTTTAACGGTGCCGCAGCATCAGTTTAACTCCTCAGGATTTACGATGGCGTGAGCAGAGGAAGCGTGAATCTGTATACCTGCTGGGCTCCAGACCACTACTATTTAGTCACATTTTGCAATGAGGTACCTTGAAGTACAAGGTACCTCATTGCAAGATACTATGAATGTATGAAGTGGAGAACTATTGGTTTGTTTTCAGCTCACAGTAAAAACATCGTCATGTTTAAAGGTGCAGCTGCAACAGTTTAACTTTGTGCTAACTACTAACAATAGCTGTTGACCAGAAGCTTCAAAGGATGCTTCAAAATAAAAGCACCAGTGGTTTCACTTTGATCTATTTTATTATAACAATATCGAACAGTCGATGTGTTTTCACCATTAAATCAGACCAAATATGCCAGGTTGAAAAGGTGTGTTTTCAGACAGGATTTGAAAGAGGAAAGGGAGTCAATATTGCAACTGTCATGGGGGAAGAGAGTTCCTGAGGAAGGGGGCAGAGCAGCTGAAGGCTCTAGAACCCATGGTAGTCAAGCAGGCAGATGGTGATGTGAGCTGGATGGCAGAGTTTTGCTGGCTCTCAGGCTGTTGCTTGAACCACCGGCTGTACTTGTGCATTTTCATATTGCCTGCCACCCATGCTGCCACCACAAAGAGAATAGAAGTGGATGAACAGACAGAAACGCTCCTCGATCTCCTTCTTAGACCAAACTCTGATCAAACTGTGAAACTAGTTTCTGTTACTGTTGTTAGAAACATATTTTAGCTTACTGTTTAACTGTAAAATGAGATTATTTGTTACCAGCTGGCCGCCATTGTGTCAAATGGATGAGTTTGCATTACATAACTCACCAGCAGCTTTACAGCACTGTTGTCATCTTTTTTTCTGAAATGAAACCATTCTTCTGACTGTTTTTTTTTCCTGCTCTACCACGACTCCTTCTTGTTGCTGTTTCCAGGATAGACATATGAGTTTGACGTCATTGTTTTGCAATGCACAACTGCTCTGAGGCATACAGTTCCAGTGGATCAGACAATTTGGAACTGGTTCTCGATGTCCATCCCTTTTGTTGATGGTAGAAGTTTGTTTCATACACTCTTGTAAGTAGATGTTAAATAGGGTGAGCAATCTTAAAATCCCCGGTTGCATATATTTAGTGACTATATGTTGTAATTTATGATTGTTAATTATCAGCTTTGTTTTGGCTGTCTGTATTTCACCTTTTCAGCTGCATGTTTTCCCAGTCATTTCTCCGGTTCTAACTTTCCTGCATGAGTGCTGTGGGGTAGTAGATTATTAGTACTGTAACAGTCCTGGTCCTGTGTGCTTCCTCAGGTATGAACACTGTAAACCAGCAAAGAATGAGGAGTTGCCAACACCTCAGACGCTGCCGCTGCCCTCTGCCTCGCTGGCCGGCTTGTCAGACCCAGAACCCAGTGGGCCGACACCTGGTTCAGGGGCACAAGATTGGGTCAACGCTGCCGAGTTTGTTCCAGGACAGCCATACTGTGGACGGGGTGAGTGACCAGACCTGATTACATCAAGTTTGATATTGATACTTAACACTTGTGTAAAAACACAGCAAGCCTCAACAAGCCACACATTGCTTCTGGTACAATGATGAATTTATCTTACTATAAAGCAAGGAATCTCTGTCTGTATGTGCTGTAATATGCATGTGAGAGTGTCTTTTACATATCTTGGGAACTGTTCATCCAACCTATTTTGTACTTGGTATGTGTATTGCTGGGGACCCAAGGACTTGCAGTGGTGCGATTTGGACATGTGACATCAACAAAACAGTGCTTTGTGGGTCTGTGCGGAGGCGGGGCTTTAGGGCTCTGCAGAGTCAAGCATGTTTTCATCTTTGTAAACAAGGACTCTCTATCGTTCTCTACTATACATTCACACACCAGATAAAGAAAGAGACCAGAGATTTTACATGTGGCAACGTTGAACAATTCAAGCATTAGCGAGGTCACTTTCAGGATGTACACTTTTGTTCCTGGACCCAAGGAAGCACAGCGCTCTGCACAGATGAGAAGCAGTGTGCTGGCCGCCGCTTATTGACTGCAGCTTAGATGCTGGCTGTACTAAGGCTGGGCTGTATGGACAAAAATTCATATCACTGTGTTTTTAGGCCAGTGATACACGATATACAGTATGTAGCTCGGTAATTTCTATGAAATGGGCGAAGCCGAAGAAAATTGAATTCCAATCACATTATCTGGGCGAAATGGGCTAAGCCGAAAACAGCCCTTGACGGCGTTCTTCCAATAGATCCATTCCAGCACATAGCTGATTCAGCCGCCACCATGGATGTCCTATCTATTGTTCTTGGAATTTCCACAGCAGTCACAGACATTAAGTAATCTCTTGAAAATATCCGTAAGGAGGTCAGTAACAAGATTGAAACGGAGCTTACTACTCTTAACAAGTCTTTCACAACTTTATCAAGCTGCACTGATTTAATCCAGGCTGAGGTGCGCAAACAAAGGGATACCATCGGCTTCTTACCTGAGGGAGCGGAGGGGGGTGACGCCATCGCTTTTCTCCAGCGTCATCTATCAGCTTGGCTGCCCAGTCTCTCATCCCGTGGGATTATTGAGATTGAAAGAGCACGTCGGATTTATGGTGTTGCAAAATCGGATGGCAAGAACTTCAACAGAACACTGATCTCCAAACTTCTCCGCTACTCTGACAGGAAAGCTATCATGGATGCCTACAGAGCTGCTGGATCTTCTCTAACATATGAGGGCCATAAACTACTCTTATTGCTGACTACTCTCCATCCACCTCCAGGCTAAGGAAAGCTTTCGCCCAAGTGATGTCCGATCTACGTAAGAAGGGCATCCAACACTTCCTCATCTATCCAGCGAAGCTGAAGGTTTCCCATAACAGCAAGCAGTTCTTGTTTGAAACTCCGGATGATGCTGAGAAATTCTTGGCTGAGCTGCAATGAGTTGAACTACAGTCTGAATCCTCCCTACGTCAGGTGAACTTTTTTTTTTTTTTTTTCCTTACACTTACAGACATTCACAGACGCTCACATAGACAGACGCTAACATCATACGGTTATGGACATGCGTGTATACGTGCGTGCACTTCCAGTGGGACCAATGCATACACACAAGCTTACATTCCCTCACCTTTTCACTCTCAACTTGGGATCCCCACATTGCTACAATGCTCAGAAACGGTGACTTGATATGTTTGATCCCAGTGTTTAACTTGATTTATGAATGGATAACATCATGGTGTGTCAGTATCCCAATGAGCTCTTATATGCTCTTATTTACCGGTGCCTTCACAGGGGCTTCTCAGAGCTGTTCCCTGGCATACCGGTTTTGTATTGTTTGTTTTCCACAGTAAATTAGCTATTTATGGGTACATAGCCTATACTGCACACTTTTATTCACTTTTTTCATTTTTCATTTTCGTTTATGCTTTACTTTTACTCAATTTTGCTTCATTTGCCTTGTGTTTTGTTTTTTGTGTATGCTGTATCCAAATATGGTATATGATCTACATAATCTTTCTTCATCCTTTTACATCTCCACTTTATGGTTAACTTCAATTTTATGAGCCTGAATGTAGGAGGTTTGAACTCACCAGTGAAAAGATTGAAATGCCTTGAATTTTTAAAACTCAAGCATGTGGATTTGGCTTTTTTGCAAGAGACTCATTTGAAACAGGTAGATATAATTAGATTTAATAATAAAATGTATAAAGTTATATCATATTCCTGTTCCCCTAATAAATCAAAGGGTGTATTAATTGTTGTCAAAAGAAAACTTAATATAAAAATAGTTATCTCTGGTGGAGATGTAGAGGGAAGGTTTTGCTATGCAACCTTAATCCTCAACAGAACAAAGTTCTGTGTGTGCTCTGTTTATGCACCTAATGTGTTTAATCCTACATTCCTTGATGGTGTGAAGCTGAAATTGTTGGATTCTGCTGACTCAGTACACATTAAATCCAGCTATTAAGGATTACACCTTTTACTCATCTCGCCATCATTCATTCTCTAGAATAGACTATATATTAATCTCTTTAACTTTTTTAAAATGCATCTCACATGCGTCCATCCTATCAATGCTTATCTCTGATCATTCACCTGTCCTTATTTCTTTTGAAACTATGCCTGGACACTCTCATTTCAAAAGGTGGCATTTCAATACTTCTCTGTTGCAGAACGCTGATTTCCTGAACAAAATCACCAATGAACTGAGAGAGTTTTTAGCGGTTAATTTACAACCAGGGATTAACCCTCACACCCTGTGGAAAGTTACTAAGTGTTGTGTAAGAGGTATATGTACTTCTTTCTCCTCTCATTTGAGTAGAGAATGTAAAAGTAAATTTCTGTTTCTAGAGAATGAAATATCGAGACTTGAATCTCTTCAGAAATCTTCCTTTTCTGAGAATAGACAGAGAGATTTATCTATAGTAAAATCAGAGTTTAAATCTCTAGCAACTTCTAAAGCGGAGTTCTTACATCTCAGAACTTGTCAAGAGATTTATGAAAATGCTGAGAAACCAAGTAAACTTTTGGCATTGAGACTTAAGCAGTCTGAACAACTAGCATCCATAGATATGATCAAAAATGCTAATGGAGAATTATGTACACTTCCTTCACAAATTAATGAAACTTTTTCTTCCTGTTACTCTAAATTATATACATCTGAGTGTCACAAAGATAATTCGGCAATATTGTCATTTCTAAACTCCTTGAATCTACCCACTCTTTCAGCAGAGCAGATTTCTAAGCATGAGGACCCTATTATCCTAACTGAAATGAAAGATGCTCTGGACTTAATGCCAAAAGCAAAATCACCAGACTTAGATGGCGTTCCACCAGAGCTTCTTGTGGCTTTATGGGACCTGGTTGGTCCAGTCATTTTGGACTCTTTTAATTTTTCACTTGTGGTTGGAGGCTTCCATCGGGATCAAAAAACTGCACTTATTTCTCTTCTTTTAAAAAAAGGTAAAGACCCGTTGGAATGTTCCAGCTATAGACCCATAGCAATCTTAAACTGTGATGTCAAACTATATGCAAAAGTTTTATCAAGATGACTGGACACTTGTATCTCGTCCTTGGTTCATCCAGACCAAGCTGGCTTCATTAAAGGCCGCTTGGCTTCTGATGGCAGTCGCCCTGAGGCTGTGATTGGTGTAGATAGCTGTTGTCCCCGCCTCTTTACACATCTTCGGCAGCATCTGTGCGAGTGAGTTTATTCCCAGCGGAGCTTTAGCGTTTAGAGTGATACATACACAGTGAAATAACCGTGATGTTGTACTCCAATATCGTCATGGTTTTACTGTCTCTCGACCAATCAGATTGCAGGGCCGGAACTAACTGTTGTATAATTCTCTATTGACCATGTGAAACAGCATACATTTTTTTCCTTTGTTCTACCATATGAAACAGCATACAATTTTTGCTTTGTTCATTAGTTTTGGTTGTTTCTGTTTGTTTGTTTTCATGTTTTTTTATTTTTGGTTCTTTATTTACATTGCGCTATGTACAGATGATTTTCAAAATCAAATAAATAATTATTAAACATCAAAAAAAAAAAAAAAAATGTTGTTATAACATACTGATTTCACTGACAACAACAACAACAGCCAGAATATTCACATTTAAAAAAACATTTTTACAGTCCGCAAATCATGTTTATGTTTTGAATTTGTGTTTTGGCCTGTTGCGCCACCCACCGCCATCTACCAGTCACACAGTCAGTAGAGTCTCAGCATCAGTTACAGTTACAACTGAGCTACAGCAGCATGGCAATCAGCATTAGCAGTGTCCTGGTACACAGCATTAGCAGCCGGCTCCTCCTCAGCTGTATCCCGGCAGCAGCGTTAGCAGTGTCCCGGTACATAGCATTAGCAGCCGGCTCCTCCTCAGCTGTATTCCAGCAGCAGCGTTAGCAGTGTCCCGGTACATAGCATTAGCAACTGGCTCCTCCTCAGCTGTATCCTGGCAGCAGCGTTAGCAGTGTCCCGGTACATAACATTAGCAGCTGGCTCCTCCTCAGCTGTATTCCAGCAGCAGCGTTAGCAGTGTCCCGGTACATAGCATTAGCAACTGGCTCCTCCTCAGCTGTATCCCGGCAGCAGCGTCAGCAGTGTCCCGGTACATAACATTAGCAACTGGCTCCTCCTCAGCTGTATTCCAGCAGCAGCGTCAGCAGTGTCCCGGTACATAGCATTAGCAGCCGGCTCCTCCTCAGCTGTATTCCAGCAGCAGCGTCAGCAGTGTCCCGGTACATAGCATTAGCAACTGGCTCCTCCTCAGCTGTATCCTGGCAGCAGCGTTAGCAGTATCCCGGTACATAACATTAGCAGCTGGCTCCTCCTCAGCTGTATTCCAGCAGCAGCGTTAGCAGTGTCCCGGTACATAGCATTAGCAACCGGCTCCTTCTCAGCTGTATCCCGGCAGCAGCGTCAGCAGTGTCCCGGTACATAACATTAGCAACTGGCTCCTCCTCAGCTGTATTCCAGCAGCAGCGTCAGCAGTGTCCCGGTACATAGCATTAGCAGCCGGCTCTTCCTCAGCTGTATTCCAGCAGCAGCGTCAGCAGTGTCCCGGTACGTAGCATTAGCAGCCGGCTCCTCCTCAGCTGTATTCCAGCAGCAGCGGAAAACTGAAGATCAAGGATGTGGCGGCACGGCCCTGCCACGGCATTTTGAATTTGAGTGCAGTAACTGTTTTGGCCACATTCTTACATACAGCGCCTTTAAAAGCTAAAAGACGTTAGTGCTGGAAAATGATTTAAATATTTTTATTTCTTTAGTCTACTAATCTTATTTATGCACACAGCATCAACAGAGAGGCTGAGGGAGTGAAGGAGCGAGAGACACTTTGTCCTTGTCATATATGTCTTGTATATAACAAGTCTGTGTTGTCACTGCATTTTTAAAAACACATCTGTTGCCTGCATCCAGTCACTGTTTAAATGTCACACAGTAGACTACAACTACCAAGAAGAATGGAAATGCGCTATGGTCCACCTCACACACAAACTAGCAAACAAACACTGACCTGACACAATCAAGCAGCTCTGTCTCCTACACATACAGCACAGCGCTGTACTGCACGTGTGCTACTGCAGTCATTTCATTTATCTCACAGACTGATTTAGTGTAGTGTGTGAAACATATAGACCTATGTCACACTGTAGACTAATGAACAGACAGATTAAACAGAGCTGCAGCACTGTGTTTCTCTAAGGTTGCTTTCACACCTGTAGGTTTCATTTGGTCCGCACCAGAGGGAAAAAATGCTCCTTTGTTGCATTTTAGTTTTGGTTCGGTTTCTGTTCACACTGACTTTTTTGTAAACAAAACAAGAGGAGTAAACATGAAATTCTACAGACTGATGGGTAACTCAGTGACTGGACAGTTTGGGTGTTTCCCATCCTGCATCATCAGGACCCATGTGGGGAAATCAAATTCGATTGACTGACAGAAGTTAATGCAGCAGCACTTTAATGCTTCTTAAGTGTTTATATTTATGTCGTTTGGTTTCACAAAGAGCTTGTGGAGAAATAACTTATTGTATGCATTATTAGTAGGCTATTATTAGACTGCAAATCAATGGCATGTTATGAATAATGACTAACAGAGAGGATGAAAAGAAGGCGTCTTATACAGTGATGGTTTGGGGCTTAAAACTGTGGGATGATCAGTATCACACACTTTTAATGGAGTTAATGAACAGATAAAGTACATGGAGTCAGATACAATGGTGACAGCTTTTTAATCAGGGAAAATACCCTCACTGACGTGCATATGTGTTACCATGGCTACATGTATGCATTACCATTAAAAGGTTATGGGATATAAGTGGCAATTTATTAGGATCAATCATGAGATCGCAGACAGATTTCATGATCAGCAGATGGATTTATTGATAGTTTAACTGTTGCTAAAATCACATATCTGCTATCATAAAATGCTGTGGTTGGTTCATTTTCTTTCATACCACAAACAAACTGCACCAGAGCCCATTCTGAAGTAGACTGAGACCCACCTTTTCAAGCGGTCTTGGTTCAGTTGCTTCGTCCATGCCAGGGTTCGACTGACAGCTTTCATACCAGCCCAAACAAACCGTACTAACCATGCAGACAGACCTGAGTTAGTTTTAACCGAACCAAACAGGTTAGATGTAAAAGCACCTGAAGTGTTTCTGGATAACTTGTGTATGAGTGAGTGAGTGGGGCGGAGTTGTGCAGAGATTGTGAGAGAGGAGAAAGGCACAGTGGCATGGCTATTTGGAAGAGCGGCATTCTGTAATGCAACAAAGTAGTTGCATTTACATCTGGTAAAGGTGGAGCTTTCAATTTTAATATAATGCTGGACAGACATGCTTTGAACTGAAGTAGTTTTAATCATTTTTGCACAGATTGTACTTGTTTTTGACACAGTTCTGTGTAGTTTTTTATCTGTTTGAGTGCCACAAAGCCATGCGTAGAGAAAAAGAGACCAGCTGTGTAAAAATAGTGAAGAGCAGGGTGATGCTTCCGTGGTTGATATGGTGGCTTTAGTTGATTAGAATCAGTCTGGTGCTGCAGATGTGTTGCACCATGTCTGTGCCACATTGATTTTAGCCAAACAACGAGACCAAGACTTCCTAAAAAAGTGCTTGTTTACCTCCATGTTTACTGCTCTTGGTTTGTGAACACAGAATGACTAGCACTAAAACAACAATAGATGTTTTCAGGGGCACAGAAACTCCATAGTACTAAGGACAGGGAGTCCCCAGAACAGTTTGGTCTGAAAACAGCTTATGTGTAATTTCTGTTCTTTTGGTCTGTACCAGTCAACGGAACAAGAGGCATGAATGACACAAAAAATGCCATGTGGCTTCCACTGTGAATAGGGTTCATCCAAGGTCATGTGGTCTGAAATTTGGAGCAGCTCAACTTTAGTTCAGAGGGTTAGGTTGCATTTTGAGGCATGTCTGAACAGATAAAGGGAAAGTGTCCTCAGATCATCTTATCTTCATTTGTGAGGGAAGACAATTCGTAAGCATTAAAGGTTTTAGTGTTCTCATGCATGTGGCACAAAATAAATATAAAAATCTTTCTCTGTGCAGCTGAGCCAGTGAAGGTGGAGAGCTCCGTCCCTCTCATCGAGGAGTTTGACAGTGAGGCATCGCAGGACAACAAAGAGTTGAGGAAGCAGCTCTGTCCGTATGCAGCTGTTGGAGAGTGCCGCTACGGAATCAACTGTGCCTATCTCCACGGCGATGTGTGTGACATGTGTGGCCTCCAGGTGCTCCACCCCACTGACAACGCTCAGCGCTCTGAGCACACAAAGGTAACCTGGAATACCCTGGAATGGATTATAAAGCCATTTTATCCAGTGACATTGACTGTTTGCAACAGCTCAAAATGAGATGCTAATACCTAAATGTTTTGTACCCTGATCTTAGCTAATTAGAGAATGATGAAAAGAGATGAAAGATTGGATAATGAATTCACAATACTTCAAAGGAATACTTTGCTGATTTTCAACCAGCTTTGTGTCAAAACAATGTTGGTAGTATGTGTAAATGAACTGTGGTAAACTTCCCTCCATCTAAGCAGTCCCTCAGTATTGCTAAACAATTTTTTTCCCCTTCCCCTATTGAAGGTTGATCAGGCACCAAAACATGACACAGCAGTTTATTTAAGCAATAAGTCTCAAGAAGATTTTTGCTTTTATCAAACAAACCAATACTTAGGACGTATACCTGGCAACATTCAGAAAATAAAAAAACAACAAAATGCAATAAGTTATTGATAAAAAAGTGACTCTTCCACCAAGCAACTTCAGTGACATTTATCAGAATGGTTGCCAAGCAGAACAGGCACAGTGGAAAGCTCTGGCTGCTGTGCAAATCCGTGGCAACACGGAGCCAAAAATGTTGACTCCCGTGGGCTCTAATGTGCCTAATATTAGGAGAAAGGCAAAAACAAAAAGAGAGGTCTCAAGATGCTGCAGTGATATTATAACCACATTAGGGATGTCCAGATTGATGGCCAGCTGATTACTGTTGGCTGATACTCAGTAAAGATATGTAATGTAGCCTCTGTTAGCTGTTGGTTCCAGCCACTGGCTGCTAACAGCTGACACGGGTTCGTTGTTTCAGTGTAGCATTATGAGAAAAAAAAAATGGGGTGCGTTCTCTGACACATCGATACCAAGTTTACTGTGTCCTTTTTGTCCCCAGTGGTGTCCCAGGGAAGACCTTAGTTTGTCCCAGAGACCTTTCTGTTGTCCCTGGTACAACAGGACACAGTTAGTTTTGAGCCCTCTTGTGACATAACTAAAAACTATCGGCTGCTGCCATCGGTGAATGTCATCTTGTTTGGCTAATGGCAGTCAACAAGGCAAATAACTTCCGATACCAATGCGGGGCTGATAAAGCGGTGGTGAATTCACTCTTGCACGTAAGATTGAGCCACTCTTATCTGAACACAGCTCTGTAAAGTCCAGTCTATAAGAAATACTTTACATTTGCCATGTTTTGAACTCCTCCGCGTTCTCCCAGCTGCTTTCTCCTGATCTGTTAGCTAAAGGAGCACAGTTGAATAGAACCCTGGTTAAACAGAAGAGGCCTCAGTGTGTTGGTTTAACTCTTTCCTCTCCTAGGCATGCATCGAGGCCCACGAGAAAGACATGGAGATTTCATTTGCCATCCAACGCAGCAAGGACATGATGTGCGGCGTGTGTATGGAGGTGGTGTTTGAGAAGGCCAACCCAAGCGAGCGCCGCTTTGGCATCCTCTCCAACTGCAGCCACTGCTACTGTCTAAAGTGCATTCGCAAGTGGAGGAGTGCCAAGCAGTTTGAGAGCAAAATCATCAAGTGAGTCACTTACACATGGCAAAGTAGGGCTCCATCACTCTGAGGCTAAATGATTTTGAATTTGAATCTCTCGTCGATTTTCTCAGAAGACTGTCAAATATTCACTAATCAATTAGGTAGCTTTTATTGAGTTATAGTCTGTAGAACATGAAAACAGATGACCAGAAAAGTTGTAAAATCTATGTGACAAACTGTGTAAAAATCCAGAGGTATTTGATTTCCAGGTAGTGAACCGAACAGAGCGTCCATGCAACTGAGAAGCTTTGGACAGCACATTTTTTGTGTCTCCTCGATCAACTATCAAAATAGCCATTGATTAAGTTTCTGTCAAGATCCTTAAATGGACGATCATTTCAACATTGTTATCTGTAGTGCTGTATTGAGCTGATACTTCAGTTTAAACCGTATTTCACATTTTATTCCTCTTTATAAAGCCAGTTCCCTAAATTGTCAGTGCAGGAAGTTACAGAGATGAATTTAGTTAAAGCTCATTTCTTCTGTGTGCTGGAGGGCAGACATCTGCCTGTTTATTCTGATAGGAAATGAAGACAAGTGAAATACTTTCAGGCATCCCATCTTGACAGAAATACAACAGTGCTGCGTGCAATATTAGCACATAATGTTATATAGACAAGAGAAGCAGGTTCACTAAGTCAAGATCAGGTCATCCTCTTTATGTCCTTTTTTTAAATCCATTGTTAAATGTGTAATTCACCTTTATTGCAATTGAATACTTTAAATTCCAAAGCAGCCCAAAGTGAGGAATTTATTTTGTATTTTAAGCTCCTTTATTAAGAGCTCAAATAAAAAATCAATAACATTCAGAGGTTGTGAAATGTTTTCAGAATGAATTTCCGACTCTGGGATTGTAAGGCTGAGTTTTGAAAGCTTTTTAGGACGTTTGTAGCTGTAGGAACTGGGAACGTCTAAATAAAATCAATGATAGGTTAGGATCAGTTAAACATACAGTATGGAATTTTCTGCCTCGAGGGGTCTCTTAATCAAAACAGTAACAAATAAAACAAGCAATGCTTTCAGTGCAGTCAGTTTCTCACAGTTAGGATTCTTTCAGTGTTCATTGTTAAGGAAGTTTTTACCAGGAACCGAATAATCCGCAGAGATCTCCTTCTCTGAAAAACAAACCTACCAGGTGATTAAAAGTGGTAACAACACTGACCAAAGCAGCTTTACATTAAAAATCAGTGTTTCTCTGATGGTGTTTGGCAACTTTTGCTCAGCTTGTTTCTCTGATAATTAAAGATCCAGACGTCAGATGACTAGAATCCTTCATCTAGCTGAAATATGTAGTCAAAAATGGCAAAGATCTAAAAATCATCATAAAATTGTAAAAATGTGACTTAAAAGTGGATGAGAAGCTATTTAAGACAGCACAACCCTGATGCATATGCTAAGGGAATATGAGGCCACTCAGTGCGTTTACATGACATCAGAAAAAAGCGATTTATTGTGTGAAATCAACTAAGGCCCTGATCGCAAAAAGCATTTTAGCAGCTGGAAGCGGCTTTTTGTAATTGTTTTTAGGGATAGACCGATACAGATTTTTTTAGGGCCGATGCCGATACCGATTTTTTTTCCATCACCCTTAGCCGATGACCGATTATGGACTGCCGATTTTCTTGAGCTGATATTTGGGGCCGATACTGCTTTTGCTCCCTCAATTTACATAAAAAAAAATGACACAATGATAACAAATATTACAGGTCTCAAGTTTAAAATAAGAAACATTTATTGAACAGTAAAAAATACTAAAACAAGATGGAAAGTTGAGGTTGAACAGGTAGAATATTATTATTATTATACATTCAAATAAAAAAAAAGAGTTCAGTGCTCTTAAATCTTCCAGTAATGTCTTTATAAAATAAACAAATATTTAAGCTGAAGCATAAATAAAACAACAACTACTGTACACAGTAGGATTCAACAGCTTTGTTCAACTTAACCACATACTTTCAAATGAAAAAAAGTGCCAGGGAAAAATAAATCCGCGAACCCACGCGCGTATCGGCCGATGCTGATACAAGTAAAAAACTCAAATATCGGCCCAGTATATCGGCCGGCCGATGTACCGGTCTGTCCTTAATTGTTTCTAATGAGAATAAAGCTTTTTGCTTGCTGTTTTTGCCTTGCCACACACCTTACATTGCTGCACTCTAGGCGCCTTGTTTTTTTATTGTTTTTTTTTTTTTGTTTGTTTTTTGTTTGTTTTTTTTTGCTGGAGCGCTCTGTACTCCTTGAGTTAAAAAAAGACCTAAACTCAAAGCAGAAAAGCGCCCCACTGTCTCTGTCTTTTTCCCCTTGTCCAATCGGATGATTTGAGTGGCAGGACTTCTGTGGTATTCACAACAACAAGCTTACAGTTGGTAAACAATGGAGGAGAAACTGGTGGTACTCAGTTACTTAGCAGGACCAATGGACTCCCTATAGTTAGTATTCATTTTGTTATGCTAGGCTTGACAGCAGACAGCAGGTTGTCAAACTGGAAATGGCCATCATGGAGGCGAAGCTGCTGAACCAACTGGTGGCACGCCCTGTGATCCACCCTCTTTCTTTTTTTTATGATGTCATGTACCCACAGATTTCCGCTTCCCTGTGCCCAACAAACTACTTGCTGACAGCCTCTCACCCTCAACCAGAGCTACAGCAAACACCCTCTGCCTGTCCATTTTAGTAACCAGCTGCTAATTACTATCAAATAAAATAAATAAGCGGTAGGTTGACTACACAGTAAGGTTAGGCTATGGAGGTGAGGGGTTGGTTGCCTGACAACAATAAAAGGGCACAGCAAGCGTGTTTTTACTAGAGGCAATTAAGTGCAATTTAAAAAAAAAAAAAAAAAGTAGAGGTGTTTTGGGACCTGAAAAATGCTTTGTGTGTGATTGGGGCCCATGTTAGTGCGACTGAAATCGTACAAAATCAGATTTCTCAAAGTCGGATTGGGGGTCAAAACTAGCCGAGGCACTCTGCGCATGCTTCAGAGTTTCCGCCCTGGGCTTTGACGCGGAAGTGGAATAGCATTAAATGCGTGACAGAAGAAGAAGCCGGTAACAGCATGGCGAAATCTACATACAGAGGCATACATTTTTGGATGAATAAAAGGTACAGAGCTGTAAAGTTGTCCACCATGGAACCAGTTTGCCTCTAGCTAACCACAGCTAATCGTAGCCCATACTTTCCCTTGACATTTTCATTTATGGGAATGCTTTGTTGTAAAGAAAATATGGGCAGATAGGTGTTTTGTTAACAGGTTGTGTTCTTATTGTAATGTTCTGGTCAGGATGCCACACTGGCCCAATCCCAGTCACCACACAGCTGATGTTTAACAGTACTTGTACCAGACTCTCAATGTTCCAGGACTCTTTCCACCACTTGTTTTCTTCTCCTCGCAGGTCTTGCCCAGAGTGTCGAATCACATCTAACTTTGTCATCCCAAGCGAGTACTGGGTGGAGGATAAGGACGACAAGCAGAAACTCATCCAGAAATACAAGGATGGCATGGGGTACACAAAGGATACACATCCACACACTCACTACACAAAGTGCTGCACTGAAGCCTTGTTTCTACCAACTGCTTTGTATCTACTACAGGAAACAAACAAACCAGAGAAACAAGGACACAATGCATACAGCTTTTCTGCTTCTTTAGTTTTCACTAAAGCTGAAGCTGAGTTTTCTTGTCTTTTCTTTAAAGGCATTTAATGAAGCTGCTTCTTCTTGTAATTTTCTGGTCTTTTGAAATTGTTAAATATCAGCAATGCAAAGTCCATTATTTTCCCTTCAGGATGGAGCAGACAGATTTTGAATAGAAAGCTGTTGCGGGTGGATGTGATGAGTGGGATGGTGAATCTGCAGGAGTGGGTGGTGATGGTGGGAAGCTCTACAGGGAGCGGGCCGATGCATGATGTAAACAAACACACATGTAACCTTAACACAGTGGGCAGTATCGAGGTCAGCACAATGATTGAGGTCATGTTTGAATATCGTACGATAAGTTGATAACAACATTATTATGACAGGTTTACTTGGAATTACTGAGACAATCTCACTTTTTGTTTGTATTCTCTGACTTCTTCTTGTCCTCCCCAGGAGTAAACCGTGTCGATACTTTGACGAGGGTCGTGGAACATGTCCTTTTGGCTCAAATTGCTTCTACAAGCACGCTTTCCCTGATGGTCGGCTGGAGGAGGCTCAACCACAGCGAAGACAGACCGGGTCCAACAGCAGGAATCGGGTAACAGCTCGCATTAACACCCTGTCATTGCACCAGCAAGTACTCCTAAACATACATAAGATAGTCACAGTTTGTATGATAGCCAAAGTTTTCTTTACTGGTACATGTAAGGATTGTTAATGCTGTCAGAAGCCTCTGCTTTTACTCTGCCAGTAAAAGTAACCACAGCTCCTCAGCTGTAGCACCCTCTGCTGGATGTGGAAAGTATGATATGTAATAACATGCACAGTGATCAGGAAAATAAAAACTCCTCTGAGGTGTAATGATGAACAGAAACCCTGCCGTTAATAGTGCCATACTGAAAATGTAGTGCATTTATGGAGCTTGGAGAGTAAACAGAGTAAGTTATGTGTTGGAAAGCTCTGCTGTTGCAGCCCCAAAATGGCCACCAACAATTAACATAGAGTACAGGCCAAAAGTTTGGACACACCTTCTCATTCAATGCGTTTTCTTTATTTTCATGACTATTTACATTGTAGATTCTCACTGAAGGCATTTTAACTATGAATGAACACATGTGGAGTTATGTACTTAACAAAAAAAGGTGAAATAACTGAAAACATGTTTTATATTCTAGTTTCTTCAAAATAGCCACCCTTTGCTCTGATTACTGCTTTGCACACTCTTGGCATTCTCTCCATGAGCTTCAAGAGGTAGTCACCTGAAATGGTTTCCACTTCACAGGTGTGCCTTATCAGGGTTAATTAGTGGAATTTCTTGCTTTATCAATGGGGTTGGGACCATCAGTTGTGTTGTGCAGAAGTCAGGTTAATACACAGCCGACAGCCCTATTGGACAACTGTTAAAATTCATATTATGGCAAGAACCAATCAGCTAACTAAAGAAAAACGAGTGGCCATCATTACTTTAAGAAATGAAGGTCAGTCAGTCCGGAAAATTGCAAAAACTTTAAATGTGTCCCCAAGTGGAGTCGCAAAAACCATCAAGCGCTACAACGAAACTGGCACACATGAGGACCGACCCAGGAAAGGAAGACCAAGAGTCACCTCTGCTTCTGAGGATAAGTTCATCCGAGTCACCAGCCTCAGAAATCGCAAGTTAACAGCAGCTCAGATCAGAGACCAGATGAATGCCACACAGAGTTCTAGCAGCAGACCCATCTCTAGAACAACTGTTAAGAGGAGACTGCGCCAATCAGGCCTTCATGGTCAAATAGCTGCTAGGAAACCACTGCTAAGGAGAGGCAACAAGCAGAAGAGATTTGTTTGGGCCAAGAAACACAAGGAATGGACATTAGACCAGTGGAAATCTGTGCTTTGGTCTGATGAGTCCAAATTTGAGATCTTTGGTTCCAACCGCCGTGTCTTTGTGAGACGCAGAAAAGGTGAACGGATGGATTCCACATGCCTGGTTCCCACTGTGAAGCATGGAGGAGGAGGTGTGATGGTGTGGGGGTGTTTTGCTGGTGACACTGTTGGGGATTTATTCAAAATTGAAGGCACACTGAACCAGCATGGCTACCACAGCATCCTGCAGCGACATGCCATCCCATCCGGTTTGCGTTTAGTTGGACGATCATTTATTTTTCAACAGGACAATGACCCCAAACACACCTCCAGGCTGTGTAAGGGCTATTTGACCAAGAAGGAGAGTGATGGAGTGCTGCGGCAGATGACCTGGCCTCCACAGTCACCGGACCTGAACCCAATCGAGATGGTTTGGGGTGAGCTGGACCGCAGAGTGAAGGCAAAGGGGCCAACAAGTGCTAAACACCTCTGGGAACTCCTTCAAGACTGTTGGAAAACCATTTCAGGTGACTACCTCTTGAAGCTCATGGAGAGAATGCCAAGAGTGTGCAAAGCAGTAATCAGAGCAAAGGGTGGCTATTTTGAAGAAACTAGAATATAAAACATGTTTTCAGTTATTTCACCTTTTTTTGTTAAGTACATAACTCCACATGTGTTCATTCATAGTTTTGATGCCTTCAGTGAGAATCTACAATGTAAATAGTCATGAAAATAAAGAAAACGCATTGAATGAGAAGGTGTGTCCAAACTTTTGGCCTGTACTGTATGTAAAGGCAGTAGTGTGACAGGATGGTTGTACAGAATTACAGAATAAGATTTTAGTTGAAATTAGTAAAATGAACATTATTTACATTATTCAGGGATTTCTATCTGTTACTCAGTGTAGGTTCCATTGTTAAATGTGAATAATAAATGAAACGGAAAATACAGTTTTGCAAACAATGTCAAATGGTGAACAGATATGTGAGACATGAAGGAAGTTTCACAGTTAAGACCTGTTTTTATTGAATATCCTCTTCTCTTATCAAATGAGTATTGTTTGAATGCAGTCATTCATGTCTGTTAGGCTATTTTTTAGGGCTGCCCCGGACCAAGAATTTTCCTAGTTGACCAATAGTTGTCATTTAGGGCCATTAGTCGACTAGTCGCCTGCATGTTTACAATATTAATGTAATTATTAAATTATTAAATTATATTTTGAGTGAGGCAACACAATGGTTTGAGTTGAAGGTCTGAGAGGGAATAGTATCAGTAAAATTGTTAACACTGTGCTGCATTACAGAGAAATACAAAACCGTACCAATGAACCTTCATTAATATAGGCCTATATTTTATCTACAAGTGCACGTCACACACTGAGCTAGCCGCCTGTTAATGATGCTGTCGGCAAAGCAGTATTGATTGTGCTAAGTGGCTAATGGGCATGTAGCTACTTCCATGTTTCAGATGATACTTCATGTTTGTACTGGACGAATGTTTGCCCGCAGAGTTCACATATCACTTTAGGTTCGTCCTCCACCTTCTCAAAATGAGCCCACACTTTGGATTTCCTGCCATGCATGGTCACCTCCTGTGTCTGTCCTTTCAAATTAAATTCCCACATGGTCCAGTCATATAGGTTTTGATTTATTTTGACGAGGTGCAGCTTCTAATAGAGTTTTTTTTGTGACTAAACGATCAATGAAATCTTACCGACTAACGACCTTTCTGTCAACTAACAGTTGGTCAGCTATTAGGGGGCAGCCCTACTCTATATAATTTAATTGGGAAGTAGACAACTTTTCAGATAAAGCTGTCTGCTTATCAACTCCTTGATCATGGCAGAATAAAGTACTGTCCACCACTGCTCATTTCAGAAATGCCACCACAAGAAAATGTGTTCTTTGTTTCTATTATCAAACGGACAATGGATCATAGATGTTTGTTGTCTGGCTGCCAGTGTTAGCTAACATGCTAACAATAGTGAGCCTTAATTTTCCCCGGATTGTGCCTGGGTCCAAACAGGAACCAATCTAAACACACATTATATTACATAAACATGTTTTCTTGTGGTGTCCTGTCTAAAATGAGCAGTGGTGAAAGTTACAATATACTGTTATGATCAAGGAGTTGATAAGCAGGCCGTGTTAGCTAGCTTGCGCTAGTTGAAAGGTTGTCTGTTTCCACATTAAATGATATTATATGGGAACAGTATTTACGGTTTCCAGAGTATGTTCTTGTTGGAAAATAAAACCTTCTCCTCTTTCCTCCCAGAACTCGAGGCGAACGCCACTGTGGGACATCTTTGACGAGCGGGAAAGCACTGACTCCTTTGACAACGAGGACGAGGAGATGGTGACGTTTGAGCTGAGCGAGATGCTCCTCATGCTGCTCGCCGCAGGAACCGACGACGAGGTGACAGATTCAGAGGATGAATGGGACTTGTTTCACGAGGAGCTGGACGATTTCTATGAGATTTACCTATAGCAGCCCCACCCACTATCCCCACCCGCCCTCGTGTATATTAGACACTAGAATGGACTGTCTTGTGCGAGTGATGGACAGTAGCTTTTCCCCCACCCCCCTGTATTGTGGCAGTGCCTTTAAGCAGGCCATTAATAAAATAAATGAACTTATAAAAGATTAAAAAAAAAAAAAAAGAAAAGAAAAAAAAATTCAGCAAGTCAGTGCGCTCGTGCTAAACATTTTCTAGACATCTATCCTTGTGGGTCTATCTTGTGCGGTTCATGTTAAAAGGAAAAATAATAAAATGACAAAAAGAGCTCAATATAAGATTTAACAAAAATTATAACTTCAAATATTGCTAATAAACATTGTCAAGTTTATTTGTGGGTGTGGGTTTGACTTGTTATCATCTACCCAGGTGTTAATACATACTTCTGAGACTCTGAGGATGCACTCGAACTTACTCCGCACCATTTACTGTAATCGTGATGGGCATGTTGTAAGATTTTACATACCTTTTTTTTTCCTTTAAGCTGCTGATAGCCAATATATTGTGCTGATGTTTAATACATTTACCATAATCATCTCCATGTTGTACTGAAAAATATTTACTGTCCCCTTTATTCAGGGTCAGAAAGTCTTTCATGGGGCATTTAGAACATAAACTGTCCATCAGAGCCCAAACAGTCAAACTGTTGTGAGGTTTTACCACCAGCCCTGATCCTGAGTAGCCGTGTTTGCAACTTGGACATTTCATAGACTGAGCAGGTTTACAAAGGCTGATCTGCAGCTGTGGGATTTAAAGTGAAATTTCTAGAGCACACTGATCTGCGATTTCACTGTCGCAGAAAAATTTCCAGTGTCGGAATAAAATCACGACAGTTTTCCCTTTGGTGTTGCGTGCTCCTGTGATCTGGCTAGTTTGGTGTAAAGTGGTCATAAGAGGTAGTACGAGCTGTATTTTTCTCGTCCTGATGTTCCGACAAAATCAAACGTGTTTAATAATATGCAAGTTTTTAGCCTTGGCTCATGCAAATACTGAAGTTGAATGATGTGATGTACTCAATGTACTCTAACATCAGATGTTAAATTGTAGTTGGAATGAAAACTGGGTTGACATGTCTAACAACGTTAGAATTTCACGTTGAGTGGACGTTAACTTTGTGAAGTATACATTGGATTTTGTTCTCCGTACCTTACATCATGTTGTTACTGTAGGTCGAGATGACTTTGACATGAGAAGTTTGGAAGACGATAGATTTTTGTAACTTAAAACCAACAAAATATCAACATCATCTGTCGTCAGTATTTTACGCCAAATTGACGTTGGGATTAGACCTCCCGATATTGAATTTTCGTCACTGGACATCACAACCTAAGTTTAAATATCAACATCGAATGACGTTGGTGGCCAGTTTGGAGGAGTCGGTGTTTAATTTGGCGTGTATCTGATCTATCAACCAGCACTTACTTTAGTGAGAAATCTCTCATTCCTCTCATTCTTACGGTCTCGTCTCGCTAAAATAGTGCCGCTAACCATCGGAGGCTGGTAGCAATTTGAGGCGACAGAATCCAAAATGTCAAGTTTGTCCACTGATACAGTTTATCTTTATGCATTATATTGATGCCGAATTCACAAGTGTACTGTTGACATTTGACGCCTTTTGTCTTGTGTTTGTAGAATCATGTGTTTTTGCACACACTAAGAAATTACTATTTAATATTTTTTAAAGGGAGTTTGATCATCCTCCAGTAGCAGGATGGAAAACAATCTCAAAAGGACTCTAGTTGTAGTTGTGTAAATAGTGACCCTTTAAGATCCCAAGTCCTCTAGCATATGGTGTGCATAGTTTGAGGCCACAGAGTGCTGCTCAGTGCTCCCACTGGTGGCTGGAAGCTATACTACAGCTATACTACTGAACAAAAGCCACCAGTGGCAGCAGCGAGCTTACTGCTGCTGAGTGTGCTGCAGTCAAGAGTCTCATTCACTGCTCAGTGAAGTGTCTGGGTTACAAAGACGATGATCTAAGACCCTGATGCATTGTATGACAGGTCCTGGATCAAGGCTAGGGGTAAAAAACTAAGTGGCTACGGGCTAAATGACCCTTACCTTCCTCTTCTATCACACACAGACACACACACGCACCTGTGCACCTGTAGTGAATCTGGGAAACATACTGCCTTTGAATGAAGAATGAATTTACTGTGCAATTAAGGTGAAATGTCATGTCAGGTTTTCCAGATACTTTTGTTTTTCTGTGATCGAACTACAAAGCTCTAACTTCTCTGTGGTCCAATTTGCTCCCACATCAGTAAACAGCTACGTCACTCAGACAAAATACAAAGAACTTTGTTTCAAATCTTCTCCCTACACCATCCTGAATCTCAGCATCCAGGAACACCTGTGGTACCAAAAGACAACTCCTTTGTCAGAACCCGGCTAAAGAGTCAACACTTTAAGCTCTTCAGCAGACTTGCAGTGCAGAGAATCGTGGAGCTGAGACACTTTTAGTTTCCCCACAGCACCAGTGTGAAGTGTAGATTCACTGCTCTGTGTTGGCTTCACTGAGTAACGCTTTGCTGCTGAGATGTTCATCCACAGACTCCTGATAGCCGGTCTCAACCTGTTAAACTCCATCGGAATGCATATGTTTATACTGAAATGTGTGTTTTCTATGTTCCACAGCCATCCATCTTAACTTGAAATTAAAGTTTATTATCAATCTCTGTGCTGTGTGGAGTCTGACTCTTTGTCTGTTGTCTTGTCTTGTCTGAATTACGGAGAAGCTCTGAGAAAGCCACTGCACACTACCTGCTCAGCACTGAACAGCAAGTAGACACAGTTAGAGACTAGCTGGTGAACATAGTGGAGCATTTAGCAGCTAAAGATGCATATATTAACAACAGGAGTTGGTGGAGACCAAAAACAGAGCTAAAAGAGAGTATATTGGACTGTTTGCCGGGCTGTTCACCCTAAAAATTTTATGAAGTGTTTTGTCAGTGTGGTGTTTTCACCTCTGATCTGCTGCTTCAGAGTAAACTGATTTGAGCTTTTTTAATTTCAAGTGTTTTTAGGGAAATGCACCACCAAAGTGTGTTATCAAGTGACATAATCTGGACCTTGAGGTTGGTCCTCTACTTTAATTTCCATTTAAGTTCTGTACTCGCATGTTTAGCCAAGGCGACAGAGGAAAATATTTGCATTGTACGATTCTGCGAACCACATATGCGTCAGCAGTTACACGTTTTATGCTTGTCATATCGTTTCTAAACTGATGTAGTATATCAGCTGACTTTGTCATCTGGTGACAAGCTGCAGGCCACTGTTTGAGACCAACAGACAACAAAAGCTGTTGTTTTACAGGGGCCCATTGTGTTTCCAGCTGCTATTTAGCCACCAAACATGGATGGTTTTTCGCTACTCATCACTTTTTTTTCCCACCATTAATAGCCGGGATTGTGCCACCAAAAGCAACTATATTTAGCTAAAACATGATCTTTTCCAACTATAACCAAATGCGTTTTGTGCCTAACCCTAACCACACGTTAACCTGTTTTGCATATTCCTAAATGACTGTGCTTCCAAATGACTACCTTAGTACTCTAGTGTAAGCAAACAGCAGAGGTGGGACTAAGAAGTCATTAGTTTGCAAGTCTCAGGACTTGCCACTCAACTCCCAAGGCAAGAGAAGCATGTCCTGAGTCAAGTCTCAAGTCCCCAGTCCTAAACTTTGAGTTTTGAGTCCTAAACAACTCATAATGTGTTTGTCACCGAATGTAAAGCTATTTAACAGGTAATACTAAATTTACAAAAATCCTGAATGCTTTTTGAAATTTGTATTTTTTTATTCAAACAAGTTTGTTTGAAGTTGTAATTTTCAACCTGCATATTTCGCTTACTGCCATTTGTTTTTTGTTGACTGCTGCATAGTGTGTGTCCTTGCACAGGTGTCGTCCCCCTCATATAAAGAATACATTTGTTGACACTCACTGCGCCGTCCAGCACTCGCTGTACTTCCTCATTACCGGTGACACAGATGGACAATAAAAAGTGTTGTGGAGTGTTGTTCCTGTGGGCTCCAGCAACACTAAACCCCTGCGCTTGCCTTAGAAGGACTAGATGCACAAACCCCTATTTTCAAATATCCCATGGAGAGAGACTCTCACTGCAGCCTGTTTTATTTGGTTCTGAAAATGTCTGCGTGCAGCTTCGTTCTGTGGAGGATAAATGAGGTGCAGACTTCCCTCAGTGTCACCAGTGATGAGGAAATACAGTGAATACTGGACGGAGCAGTGAGTGACAACCCTGCCCACAGAGTTAGAGTACTGTCTGCAGTGGAAACGCTAAACAGATGTAGGGTCTTGGTACCATGTCTGAAGGGTTACTGTTGGTTCCAAAGGTGCCATACTAAAAGTGTTTGGTGGAAATGGGAAAAAAATGCATACCAAACTAATCTGAACCGTACCGGACTGCTTGGTGGAAACAGGGCGACAGTGGGAAGAATGGGGTGTATTAGGGGCCCAGATGCTCATTTATGCCCCAGGGCCCCAAACAGATTAATGCAGCCCCTGTATCAACTTAAAACCAACATTAACGAGTAATAACACTGTGTATACAGTGCACTTTACTGTATAAGATGTCTATACAGAAATACCAACGTTAAAAAAAGTCCAAACGTGTTAAGTGAATAGGTTACATATATCATTTTTTGTAAACTGAATACCTTTTAAAAATATTATTTTCCTAATTCTCTATTTTTCTTTTTAGTCCATTTGTATATAATATGTTTGCTATCATTCTACCTGTGCATATGTTTAACTCGACATGCATCAGTGTTGAAACATGTCAAATATCATCGTGCTTCAGGATCATGTTCAGTACAAAATATTGAAAACAACATAAATTGCTTTAAGCATTCATAGCTAGTGTGAAGTATATATTTAAAAAAAAAAATCTGTAGATAAAATGACGTAATGAAAAAACATTATAACATGTGCAAATAACTGTTGTAAACAAAAGCAGGTGTAGTCCATTCCATCAGAGTCCATGCCTCTCTTTGCGCGCGCCTCTTTCTCTCCACCTTTAAAAGCATCAGTGAGGAAGAAAGAGGGGAGAAAGGGAGGCGACCGCACAAATACAATGATCTCAGAAACTGGGAACGACAATCCGAAGGCAGAGTATCTCCGATCCGAAGCGAGCTATAGCCCAGACTCCCCCGTCTCCTCCTCTCCGGAAGCCGGGCACCTCAGCAGGAGGCGGGACACCCAGACCACCAGCGGCAGCATCATCCCGGAGGAGAGCGGCAGCATCCAGCCCCTGGTCTCCTCGGCCGCGGCCGCCGCCTGCATCATGACATCGGGGGAGTTCATGCAGACCGCTCCCCTGCTGGCGCACAAATCCAAGAGGAGCCTGCTGTATAAGGCGCTCTGCTTCCTCCTCCTCGTCTTCCAGGGCGGCATTCTGGACTTCTACCTCATCATCTTCAACGACCTGTACTGGTGCTCATGGATAGCCACGGACCTGGTGGTGATCTCGGGCTGGGGGATTTTCTTCATGAAGAACGCGCGGAGCAAGAGAGAGCGGGCCTGCGGCTTCCACCAGAAAAGCTCCATCTTCGGCTGCAACCTCGGGGAGTTCACCTACGCCTACCTGGCCTGGCTCATCTATGTCATCGCCTGCACGCCGAAGGTGGTGCTCATCCTGGAGACGTCCATCCTGGATCTGATCGCGCTCAAGGTCCCGTGCGGAGTGACCGGCTTCAAGATCATCATGCTGCTGTCCGCGCCGCTGCTCTTCTGCCTCATCAACTCCATCATCGAGGATCTGAACGGGGCGACGCGGCACCACTCCCAGAGCTGCTTCATGAGCACCTGCCTGGACCTGCTGGACAGCTTCACGCTGGTGGAGATGCTGCTGAGGAGCGAGATCCCCACCGTGTACCTCAAGTACACTGTCATCACGGTGTACTTCGTGGCCCTGGCCGTGCCGGTGATCTGGCTCTACGAGCTGACGGCGTCCGAGCTGCGCTGCCGGTGGCTGTGGGCCCGCTTCTCCACGGGCCTGGTGGTCAACGCGCCCCTGCTTGTGGTCAGGTGTTTCCAGGTTTACGTCTACAAGATGCCGGTGTCGGTGTTCATGTTTAAAAACATCTTCTTCTTGGCGTGTAAGTTCCTGGAGCTGGTGGAGCAGTGCGTGGCGGTGCGTGGGGTTCGGAGGCTGGCCGGAGGCAGCAACCCGGCCCAGTTCTCCCACTGTGTGTCCGAGAACGACATGTGTCCGCACGGATATGTCAACACCCTGGCCGTCACACAGTCCTAGAGCCCGGGCTGACTGAGGGCCAGGGGCCGCCTGTCCGTCTGTCTGTCTGATGGCGGGCAAAGTGGACGAGTCGTGTTGCGTTCCAGACACAGCTGGAAATGGGAAAATCCAAATTACAAACACAGCTCCTGCTTCCAGATAGACAGCGAAGCCACACAAAGGTATTAAGGCAACATGTATCAACATACATGAGAGTAGGGAAAAGTGATTTACTCTGTACAGTTATATGACAAAGTAAATTGCAGACACAGGCTGCAATGTAACCACATGGGGCATCTTCCCACCCTCAATTTACTCCCACCAAAGTGTTTGCCAGGCTCAGATTATTATTATAAGTGTCTGACAACATCACTGAAAGGACCCCACATACATAGAGCTTTTTGTTAAAGAGTAAGATCCTTTTAGTTTGACCAGAAACAGACCTGAAATCACCATGGCTAAATCCACCAGACTCCATTTATTAAAACAGTAATTTAAGAGCATATAAAGCCAGCATATTTTCATATCTAACAGAGTGAATTAAGGGTTTATTTCATCCAAACCAGAGTTGATGATGGAACAGCAGAGAGATGAACCAAGACAGCTTTTGAGAGTTTTATTTCACTTCTGCTGACTTTGAATGAAGTGTGTTTCATGATGATAAAATTAACATTTATTTAAATGGAGTCTGGTGGGTCTGGCAATAACAATTTCAGGGCTGTTTCTGGCTTAACAAAAAGCCAAGGTCCAGACCAAGGTTCATGTTTTTGTTATTGTATACATTTGGTCCCTTGGTTTTGCATTCACATTGCAATTCTGTGAGCGGACTAAAGAACTTTACATGACATAGTTACGTTCATCTACGTAGCTTGCGTCACCTTATATTTGACATTGATTGGTTTATAAATGGGCGGGGGTCTGATGTCAGTGTGTTGTCAAGTAGGTGGGTAGAAATCCCCTCAGTGTTTACAAGCATTACCTCACGAAAATGGATGAACCGATTCTAATAATCGTCACGCTACGCATACTATTTTGACATTGCTATCAGCTGCAGCGCCAACCTAGAAGACAATATTCGCGGCTCGTACAAAAACAAAATAAGTCTACACCTTGTGCGAAGATGTCATCGTCGCCGGCAGGAAAGGAGGAGGAGGAGACAGCTAGCAATGTTAGCAATGCTGAGAACCCTGCTAACTTGGGAGCGACCAGTGTCGAGGTGAGTGACCATTGACAGCTCATTTTTGATGGTGGACTTGACTTCTCTCCTGGCGGAAATGAACAACCGGCGCACCAGAATTTCCTGTCAATGGTCCGAAAGTCCGAACCATCCAAAAAAATGCGTTCACACTAGTAACGGACCGGACCATGGTTCCGTTTGGTCCGGACTGAGACCACCTCTTTTGGCCGGACCAAATTTCGTCTGTTTGGTCCGGACCGTGGTCGGGGGGTAGTTTTGACTGCGGACCAAACTGGAAAGTCCAAAAGTCCGCACCAAACGACCTAGGTGTGAAAAGGCCCTACTCTTTAACAAACAGTTCTGTCTCGATAGAGAACCATTCCATAATGTTATCAGAAACTTCAAATAACAATCTGAGCCTGTTAGTGGCAAAAACAAGCACTTTAAATGGATGTAAGTTGATGGTGCTCAGTTGCTCGCTGGGATTACATTGCAGTCTTTTTCAGTCTTGCTCAGTATTGGACTAATTAAAAAAAATGTTGTTCTGTTCAGTCGCGTATACATAAAAACATGGGAAAATAGCATTGTAGTTGAAAAATACCCAAGTTACCCTTTAAATGGTCACTTTACTGAAATTGTAGAGTTGCAGCAATCTACCGGTGTCAAGGTATACTGTGATATAAAAGTTTCGCGTACATTTGCTTATCTACGACATTGAGAAAAAAGCAACTTGACGTTAATTCTCCCCTTTATTTTCAAAGAGGAGACTTTTTACACATGCTACCATTTACAAAATGGTTTCAAGTTTCAGTTATAGTGATAAAACGTTTGTTCAACCAACAATAACCCTTCTGTTTTCATTCCTTCAAGGGTCATTCTGACTGATACTATCAATTCTGTAATGTTGTGATACCATGAAACCGCAATATTTTATCATTCTGTGAAAATCTCATACCGCTGCAACACTACCAAAATGTGACATACATATTTTCTTAGAGACCCTGGTTAGTAATTCAACAATGTATAATGATGGTGAACAGAAAGTGTTTCTACTACTCACCATATCGGAAAATGACATTTGTCTTCTCACAAACAGTGTTCCTGTTACTCTGAATAATCCACAGAACACACTGTCAGCAGTTTTAATTGGAACTGACAAAAGAGTAGTTCCTATAAAAGCTGTCTCTGTGTTCTTTGGATGATCCACAGTAACAGGGAGATCATTTGTAGAGAGGGATGTGTTGCGTTAGATCTTTTAAAATCTTGTTAACAAAACTGAATTCACTTCCACTGTATAGTGTTGAAGAAAGAGATGTGAAAGAAAATAGACACAGTCTAATGGCAATACCTGCAGGGTTAGATTCCAGCAGAAGTCAGAGGGTTCTCCCAAATTTCGGACTGTTAGACAACTGTTACAATTAGCTAACTGGGGGCCCTTTGGTGTCTGTGGCCCTAAGGCAGCTGCTTTGGATTGCAAGTGCCAACTCCTTAACTGATTAACAACCGATAGCGCAACTGTACTTTTCTATATGTCTTGTCAAGTTGCAAAAGGGTCCCTCCCTCTTCCGCAGCTTTTAAAAAAGAAGCATTTGCTTGGCCTAAAATTGTCTATATTATCTATATATCGATATTAACTTTAAACCTGGGCACAGATCTTAAGCTGTTCGAAATGCTGCCAAGTACCAGTAACCTGCGACATGGCAACGAGGAAGACAGGCTTCTATTGGGAAGGTATTTGCAGCCTTACATTAGATTTTGACATAGGGCCCCATGACTGGATAAAAATACAAGACCCACCTTAGGGCCCTTTTCATTTAGCAGTGCATACTGCCAAACAAATAACCAGAAAGTCATTGCGACACACACAACCTGGGGCCTTCAGGGCCCAATAATCCAGCCATGTCCAGCTGTGTCCAACCTTTAACCACAATGCGGTTATGATGCATATGACATCATGTGATGCAAAAAAAAAAAAGAGTCCGTAGATTCATTATTAACAACTAACAACATTCATTTCTCAGCAGTTTGATTTCGTTGACAGGGTATGTTGCTACGTCCAAGTGACGTCAGATAACTGTATCTCTGAAACCTCGGAGCTGACTAATCTTTTTGAGGTTTTCTCTCGGACGGCCGATGACATTTTACATTACAGGAGGATGGATTTTTCAATTTTTGTACATGTCTGGAATGCATCATCTGTACCAGCCTTACAAAGCTCCCCTTTCAGACCAGTTTACAGGTGCTACAGTCAAACCCAACACCTGCAATAGCCTACTAACAAACACAGATCAAACTATAGTGCATTGGACCTTGTCGACTTGTGTGTGTTCAGTCTGTGAGTTTCACCTTGAACGGAGAGACAACAGCTGGACTTTGTGTCGTGTTGGGATGTAAAGTGCAATTTGAAGAATCGTCTGCTTTGACTCACCCCCTGCACACCAGTGTTTTCTATTGGTGACAGTGTTGTCTGCGGATCTGTGCTGCTTCTAAATGCTGTTTCCGGTACTAACAGTAGAGTAGACACTTGTGTGTAAGTTAATGCCATGTATAAAGATCCAACAGTGCCATGACTAACAGGTTTTCTACAGCCGTTTTCAAACGGACCACCTGCCAACAGAAGTTTCTGTTGGTGTCGCTGGCTGTGCCGCTGTTTTACTACTTCTCACACTTCTTGGATCACGAGTCCTTAAAGATCACTGGCTACTGGTCACTCTGACATCCATCAGTATTCTGGGTCACCTAAGAGCCCAGCTCTTAATCTCTCACCAAGAACACCTATTTATTCATTCATGGACCTCAGTATTTCTTCATTGCTAAAAGGTCGCACCCAGTATACAAGAAAGCTCAGCAGACTCTGAAAAAGTCATTTTCAACACAACTGTGAGTCTGGGACTACAGATATATGCATTACTGACTTAGTACTTCGTAATCTATGGATTCCCAATTCTGTCAAGAAAATCAGTTTGAGGGGAAAAAGAAATTAGTGATGTAAAATAATGTGCTTACATGTATGTAGAGATGGTCGTTGTCGTTCCTCGAATCTCTCTTTTTTATGTCCCTTACCTCCAAGGTCACAGATTACAGAGAGGGAAAACAAAATGGTAAAAAGTAATCTGGCAGGTGACCTCCCGAATCTGAACCAATGGCAGTCATCAACGATCTGATCAGTTTAATGTAATAATACTCACTTCTATTTTATTGGTGTTAAAGGAACAATCTGACATTTAGGGAATTTCTTTGGAACAAGCTGGCCCAACAAATCAAACTTCATTACTGACTTGTTGTGTCCTGTCAACACTTAAAGGTGCAGCACACATGCCGGGCGCTGTGTGCGACTCTTGTGTCTATTCTGTGCCAACTTTAAAGAGCACAGAGGCAGGTTGCATCTGAAGTTGCTAAGCAACCATAACAAGCACCTGCCTACTTACATGAAATCCTGAGTGCAGACCTGATCTTCTTCCAGGTGCTATTTTTTAAGTGTGTAGGCCTAAAATATTGTCCATTAGACAGATGTAAAGCCCTGGCGCCCCGGCACTAAAATGATAAACCTCTTCTCCATATTTATCACAGGTTGATATTTATGGAAGAAGGGAAAGATATATGTTGGCTGTGATTGGTTGTTCCTTGTCACCTATCATGCAGTGCTCTTTTTATCTCAAGGTGCAGGCGCTGCGCCCTAAAAAAAAATAGGCACTCGGGAACGTGTGCGCGACTGATATACACCACTGATTGTGGAACTCAAAATACTAACTGTACTGGTATTAAAGGGATAGTGCACCCAAAAATGAAAATTCAGCCATTATCTACTCACCCATATGCCGAGGGAGGCTCAGGTGAAGTTTCAGAGTCCTCACAACACTTGCGGAGATCCCAGGGGAGAGTGGGTAGCAGCACAACTCCACCTAATGGAGACTTGCGGTGCCCCAGATTCAAACATCCAAAAACACATAATTGAAACCACAAAATATCCCCATACTGCTCGTCCGTAATGATCCAAGTGTCCTGAAGCCCCGACATAAAAAGTTGTTTGGAAAAATGTCATTTGAACTCTGTTTTTAGCCTCATTGTAGCCTGTAGCTCTGACTGCCTCTCTGTGGACCACGCTCACCTGTGTGAGCTTGTGCAAGGCCGTGAGATATGGGCACCGCGTTCAAGTGTGTTCACGTGCTTTCGATGGTCTCGAAAAGCGAAACACGTGAACACACATGAATGCAGTGCCCATGTCTCACGGCGGACGAGCAGTATGGAGATATTATGTGGTTTCAATTATGTGTTTTTGGACGTTTGAATCTGGGGCGCCACAAGTCTCCATTAGGTGGAGTTGTGCTGCTACCCCCTCTCCCCTGGGATCTCCTCAAGTGTTGTGAGGACTCTGAAACTTCACCAGAGCCTCCCTCGGCATATGAGTGAGTAGATAATGGCTGAATTTTCATTTTTAGGTTGCACTATCCCTTTAATCTATGCACGTCAGATAATCATTGATATTAACTGTAAAATAAGAGAGTAAGGCAGATTTATACTTGTGCGTCACAATGTATAAATGTCATAGGCATGTGCTAATAATGTTAGCATGTTGTATTTGTGGGGAAAATGTGTCCAGCAAAAGATAAGTGCTTTGTCTCTGAAACCTGCGAGTTATAGTGAAGCTGATAAGTATGAGTCCTACATAGGGATACTGATAAGTATATCAGTATGCAATACCTTAACACTTATATTGGCATAGTTTTCAGCTAGCCTATATACTTCAACAGCATAACAGCATTGTGGCTTTTGGTTTCAGTATGCCATCCAAAGATTTTCTAGGGCCCCCACTGTTATTAACAAACGCTTGGTGTGGTGCTCACTGTCCTCATGACAGAGCTGCTAGCTTGAAGCTCTATTGTAACTCTTGGCCTGGCTAACAAGCCTCCGGTCTTTATTCTTAACCTGTTTGTACTGGATGCAAAGAGATGACACCAACATCGACCTTTCAGTCGGACTCTGTATAAGACAGTCAAATAATCAAACTGAAAAAGTTGGACTGGAAACAAATGAAAAGCGATGCACATGCCATATCTAACAGTTTGTGTTTAAAATCCACCTTTTTCAGAGTGTATGTAGAAGTTTACATACTGATGAGTTGAGATGGGAGACAATCTGCATCCTGCTGGGAACAACCCAGGATTCCAGACTCCCTCTCAGTGGGTCAGTGCATTATTTACAGCAGTACTGTACATTTACTAACCTAACAGCTTTGTTTGAGTAACAGCAGGTACAGTATGTCATGGCATGTTCACTGTCCTCCATGATGAGCTCTTCCATAAGCTTGTAGTAATGTTGTATCTAAAGAACATGGCTGATCAAAGTATATTAGATACGTACAGTACAGGCCAAAAGTTTGGACACACCTTCTCATTCAATGCGTTTTCTTTATTTTCATGACTATTTACATTGTAGATTCTCACTGAAGGCATCAAAACTATGAATGAACACATGTGGAGTTATGTACTTAACAAAAAAAGGTGAAATAACTGAAAACATGTTTTATATTCTAGTTTCTTCAAAATAGCCACCCTTTGCTCTGATTACTGCTTTGCACACTCTTGGCATTCTCTCCATGAGCTTCAAGAGGTAGTCACCTGAAATGGTTTCCACTTCACAGGTGTGCCTTATCAGGGTTAATTAGTGGAATTTCTTGCTTTATCAATGGGGTTGGGACCATCAGCTGTGTTGTGCAGAAGTCAGGTTAATACACAGCCGACAGCCCTATTGGACAACTGTTAAAATTCATATTATGGCAAGAACCAATCAGCTAACTAAAGAAAAACGAGTGGCCATCATTACTTTAAGAAATGAAGGTCAGTCAGTCCGGAAAATTGCAAAAACTTTAAATGTGTCCCCAAGTGGAGTCGCAAAAACCATCAAGCGCTACAACGAAACTGGCACACATGAGGACCGACCCAGGAAAGGAAGACCAAGAGTCACCTCTGCTTCTGAGGATAAGTTCATCCGAGTCACCAGCCTCAGAAATGGCAAGTTAACAGAAGCTCAGATCAGAGACCAGATGAATGCCACACAGAGTTCTAGCAGCAGACCCATCTCTAGAACAACTGTTAAGAGGAGACTGCGCCAATCAGGCCTTCATGGTCAAATAGCTGCTAGGAAACCACTGCTAAGGAGAGGCAACAAGCAGAAGAGATTTGTTTGGGCCAAGAAACACAAGGAATGGACATTAGACCAGTGGAAATCTGTGCTTTGGTCTGATGAGTCCAAATTTGAGATCTTTGGTTCCAACCGCCGTGTCTTTGTGAGACGCAGAAAAGGTGAACGGATGGATTCCACATGCCTGGTTCCCACTGTGAAGCATGGAGGAGGAGGTGTGATGGTGTGGGGGTGTTTTGCTGGTGACACTGTTGGGGATTTATTCAAAATTGAAGGCACACTGAACCAGCATGGCTACCACAGCATCCTGCAGCGACATGCCATCCCATCCGGTTTGTGTTTAGTTGGACGATCATTTATTTTTCAACAGGACAATGACCCCAAACACACCTCCAGGCTGTGTAAGGGCTATTTGACCAAGAAGGAGAGTGATGGAGTGCTGCGGCAGATGACCTGGCCTCCACAGTCAACGGACCTGAACCCAATCCAGATGGTTTGGGGTGAGCTGGACCGCAGAGTGAAGGCAAAGGGGCCAACAAGTGCTAAACACCTCTGGGAACTCCTTCAAGACTGTTGGAAAACCATTTCAGGTGACTACCTCTTGAAGCTCATGGAGAGAATGCCAAGAGTGTGCAAAGCAGTAATCAGAGCAAAGGGTGGCTATTTTGAAGAAACTAGAATATAAAACATGTTTTCAGTTATTTCACCTTTTTTGTTAAGTACATAACTCCACATGTGTTCATTCATAGTTTTGATGCCTTCAGTGAGAATCTACAATGTAAATAGTCATGAAAATAAAGAAAACGCATTGAATGAGAAGGTGTGTCCAAACTTTTGGCCTGTACTGTATGTGAAGATGTATAGTGCAGACATTGTGCAATATGGGTCAGAGGGGTCTGAACTGATTTTAGTGCCTATTATTTTGGAGCTGAATGAATTCAATCACAGTGAGGGGATGTGTGCAATGTACCAGCTTTGATTGCCTCTCTGAGAGTGATCAGTGTATGCAGGTCAGAGGTTGTGCCTTGTAGGAGGACAGCTGAGGGGTCAAGACTGATGAAGAGGAGGAAAGGAAAGTCCGCCATAAAGGATGATACTGGGTTTTGTGAAGTTTTAGCTCCTTTACTACAAGTCACGAGTACTTTACATTTTGCTGATTTTTACCAACACGAATAAAGACCCACATCGAAATCAATTTAAAATGAATGGAATCTCAGCCTATTTTCAAGGTACACTGTCAGATCTATAGCTCTCATTCGGACTGTAAATATTCTGAGATCTGAGTTCATTGTTGTACTGTTTGACAAAATCAGGGACTTATTTATTTACCTTTAAGGCTCCTGACACCCCAGAAATTGCTAACAAATAATCCTGTATTTGTTGCATCTTGTGCAGCTGAACTGACTGTTCGAAAAATCTGTCCACTTTTTCAGAAAACTCTGACCTGCAGCAATCAGCCATTACAACTACGGCAGGGTTTCGGTACTCCATATCTTTAGGATATTGACCAAAATAGCCCGGTAGCAAGTAGCACTGAAGTCAAAGAATACCCGCATTCGATCCTTTGGGGAAGTGATCAGCAAACCTTCTGTTGCTGCTGTCTCTGGAGCTGCTCTCTGGTGAACAGTTTGTCTGTCTGGTTAACACAAGCTCTCACAGACTCTCACAACTGTACCCAGCATGAAGCTCACATTCCCGCAGCAGCAGCTAGAACCCGTGCAGTCTGTAGTGTGGTGAAGTCAAGTGCTATGTATTTGACAGAGCTGGCAGTTCAGCATGCCTACTACATGCCCAGAATGTGCTGACACACCACTCCATTCACAATATGGGTACCGAATGAAGTGCTCTATGGCTTTTAGGGTACTGGTATTGTATTTTTTTAAACAATACCCAGACCTAATTATGACACATGCCAGACGGGTGTCACAATGTGTTGCTTCTTATGTCCACCTGCCACCTGCAGGTCAGCTTTGATGTGAGCATTGCGGGGAAATGTTCAGTCAATTCAGCTGTAGACAATGCAATGGATTATTTATTCTAAACAACACAAATAAATAATGATAATTATTTATTTAAAACATTGAAATATAGATAATGAAATATTTTCACCAAATCCTGTCAAGGTCAGTGTTGCTTTTTCAGAGCTTTCAACCACATGTCACAGCCTTCCTCAACTTGTGTCACTCAGGAACTTTGGTCACATGATAACAGGTGGTTGTGTATGGCTGGAGATGGTAACCTCTGTCTCTGATGTCACATGTGAATGTTCTTGATCTTTATCCAGTTTTCCAACACATTCTCACTCCCAACTCAGTGGCCCTACACATCAAATATGACGTGCCAGGGACCCTCAAGCGTCACTTTTGGATGCTCAGGGACAGCCTGTCAGTTCATGCTCATTACATGCATTGTGTTTTTTCAAAATAAAGGTCTGATTTCACTGAAAATGTACAGATTCACCTTTTTAAATGCATACAGGCTCTTAAAAGCACTCCGGCTTCTTCCCACAGTCCAAAGACGTGGCTCTAAATTGGCTGTAAGTGTGAATGTTAGCATAAATGGTTGTCTGTCTCTATGTGTCAGCCCTGCGATAGTCTGGCAACCTGTCCAGGGTGTACCACCCCCCCCCCCCCCCCCCCCCCCCCCCCCCCCCCCCCCCCCCCCCCAACAGGATAGGCGCTTATGGAAAATCAATGGATGAGACCATTTTACCAGAATTGCATTGCTAGGGCAACAGCTTGGGTCCATGTTTGCTTCCTGTCAATTGATCATTCACATACACTGCAAAACATGCCAACAGGAAATACATGACGACCCATTTAGAAAAGGTTCCATACTCATGTCACATGACGACAGAGGTATCTCCATGAAGAAGACTGCTGATTTAGACTGTGAGATGTGGTTGAAAGTAAGTGGATCGAGATTTTTTTTTTTGTGTTGTTTTGTTTTTACAAAATCCAAAATGAACCTTCACTCTCAAAAATTCTGACTGTTGAATTAATAATTATGTCAGATTTATGGATTGTTGTTGATTTAGTCTGCAGACGGCTGCTATGATGGTGACCCTGATGTTTGACCTCTCTGTGGAGGATTACAGATCGGAGAGCTGCTGCTGTACACACACTACGATATGTTGACTGCTTCAGTGCTTCTCTCGGCATTGTTTCTCATGTTGCACTGAGAATGGCTTCTGTTTGTTTATTGCTTGTCATATATTGCCAAAGTATTTCAAATGTTATATTTTATACTATTTTGTATTATTTCCTTGTGCCAGTAATCTGCTTAACTTTTGCATATGTATCCTGCGCTGTTGGAAAGGCTCTTTAACAATCTTGATTTGAATTTGCACATGAAGCTTACCACACAGTTTAATCACAAGCGGGACCATGTATTCACTTTAAACTGAAGTATAGTGGGCCTTTAACGTGCATGTACAAGCACAGTGCATAACCACACTGAAACTACCAAAGGCTTTCATGAACATGGATATTCAAAGGAGTCAATTGTGCCACACAGCTTCAAATGGTTTCTCTTCTTTAGCCTACGTGCAATGAAAAACACAATGTGTGCAATCTTAAAACTCTCCTGTCTTATATTATATGAGCTTTCTTTTTCTTCGAACTTGTTTACAGGGAAAGAACATTGCTGTTGTTTACAGATAGGATTCTACCTGTACTGTAAAGTTGTGTGGTGTAAATCTGTGCTGATATAATCCAATCTATGTACTGTAGATGTAAGACAGAGTATTATGTGGTCGAAACCTGAAATAAATCTGAGGAAAGTACCATACAAAGTGGTTTGTATATGATATTTATTATTGGATTATTTAATAACATAAGAAAATGATAAGTGCTCTAAACACAACAAAGGTGAGTGCTATTCGTGACATTATTTCACAAAGACCTTCACTGTCAAAAAAATGTAATCCTATCAAGGATAGAAAGACAACACATCACATCAAAATACATCAATGTCAATATTTGAATGCAGGGGAAAAAAATCATCAATGTAGAGCCTCAACAGTAAACCTCAGATTTTGTTGTCAGTCTTTCAAAACACTATTCAGGGGCGTGACTTACGGGGGGACAGAGGGGGCATGTCCCCACCACTTTTTACAAAACTATTATGTTAGACAAAAAGTATGGATGTTGGAATGGTGTTTGTATGTGACAGTATTGGGAGTATGGAAATAAAAATAACTTAATTATACTAAGAAGAATTTTGAAAATGTGTATAAACCTTTATACCAACAGTATCTATTACACCGGAGCTAGGAGTGTCTGGTTAAAACATTGTAAGAGGAGATACATTTTAAAATCTTGAGCTCCACAGGGTTTAATGGAATTGTTTTTTGACATATCTCAAAAAGTATACAAGATTTAAAATCAGTTAATCTTTGCACACTTTGTAACAGACTGAAGCCTGAAATTGTCGCACGTCTAAAAATAAATACAACCTTACTTTGTGTTAATCATTGAGTGTGAAACTTTAAATTAAAAATTTTCATAACAGGTTTGATTTTCTGCATTTTTTGCATCCATCAGAAGCCTTTAAAGCAGTGGTACTCAAATGGTGGAAATCCTGTGCTGTGGGATATTGTGATAACCACACATTATTACTGCAATATTCAACTGGGCCTATATCATAAGTTATGAATTAATTTTTAATTTTGATCTTTAATCAGTATGTTGTGCGCACCCATTTCTTAATAAAGAGGCAAACTCTACCTAAAAAATGTGATTTGATTTAATTTAAAAAACCTTTCACAGGGAACCTATTTGTCACCGTTCCTGCGAGGGAATTATAAGTGTGTTACACATCACATTATCTAACATTATTTTCCATTTAAATTGATGTGTTATTGGTGCTTTGATGTTATTTTAAAAAGTTTAAAATTAATTCTTAAATAATTTTGTTAATTAATATTTCATGAGTAATAGTTGGTTGTCAATTGTTATTTGGTACTACTACTATTATTATATTACATTTATGTTGTGATAAGAGTGACAACATGTTATTGAGTCTTTTGTGCACAGATATAAATACAGGTGTGCCTTGATATTTTGGCTTTGGTATGCCCTGGACACAAAAAGTTTGAAAACCACTGCATAAGAGAGCTGTTTGACCTAATCAGAAGAACAGGGACGCACAGAATCAATTCAGAACTCAGACAGCTCACTTTCAACAGGTCAGATAGTAATAGTCAGGTGGATGATGATGAAGAGGAGGAGGATGTGGACCGCAAACAGAATGTGGAGGACAGCTCCGCCTTCTGATTGCAGGTACTGTGCCAAATGACAGACAAGGAGGGAGTGGTGACAGCCAGATAGGTAACCAGTGGAGAGGTAGTCTCGCTCACTGCGCCGACTCTCACTTTGAGATTGGAGAAAAAAACGCCCCGGCTTTTTTTATTTCAACCAATCACAATCGTTCTTGGCGGTGCCACAGCAACGGTGCGCTTGCAAAAATATTGCCGGGGGAAACAGGTTTTGGTGTAACACACCCACAAAAATATCGCCTACAGGACGCAAACCATGGCAGAAAAATGGCTACATCCCCCGCAAAATCAAACACCGCAAAAGTTAGTAAAGGACGTGTTGAAAACTGCTACACAACCGGAGGTGGTAGGGCGGGACTTCAGCAGGTGGCTCGTTCCGCCCAATGAGAGGCTGATCTATGCAGCGAACTTCCGCCCACTCAGACTAGTGGGGAGGCAAAGGAGAAAATGCATTTTTTTTTTCACTTTGTCACGTGTTACGAATTTTTGCATAACAAATAGAACAATAAAATGCATTAGAATCAGTGTGCAAGGTTTCTGTGCGTAACAATTTTTTTCGGATGACATACACACCTTTGAAATCAATTGACAACATATTCACAACCCATTGACAAAACTGACAAATAAACCTACACATTCATTGCAGCCACTGTGTCTACTTCTTTGTTCTACGGCATGATCACAGTGATTTGTCTGAATCTGTTTTGATCAAACAACATATTCTAAAACTCATCAACATTGGATATGTTACGTACAGGCCCCACACTTTACTGGTCACAGAAACATGTCTTTGTTTGGAGCACTTAAACCTTCCTACATTCAGGTGATGCTGGTTAAAGTCGTTGAGGGTTTAGTGCATATTTATAAGTGTAGATTTTGGACTGGTCATGGTCAGACTGTGACCTTCAGCAGACACTGGGGTGGTTTGTAGCCGAGTGTGACGCAGTCAGGATGAGAGTCAGTACCTCCAATTCTGAAGCCATTAAAAGCCCAACCCTCACCCATGGTGATATGCTTTGGGTAGTGACTGATAAGAAGATATCATGCACACAAGCAGCCAAAATGAGTTTCCTCTGTAGGGTGTCTGTGCTCAGCCTTAGAGATAGAGTGAAGAGCTCAGATATCCAGAGGAGCCTAGGGTAGAGCCGCTTCTCCTTCATGTTGAAAGGGGCCAGTTGAGGTGGTTCAGGCAGCTGATCAGGATGCTTCCTTTCATTAGAGGTTTTCTGGGCATGTCCAACTGGTAGGACACCCCATGGCAGACCCAGAATATGCTAGATGGATTAAATATATCATCTGGCCTGGGAATGCCTTGGGATCTCAAAGGAGGAGCTGGAAAATTATGCTGGGGAGAGGGATGTCTGGAGTACCTTGCTCAGCCTGCTGCCCCCACGACCCAGCCCTGGGTAAGCGGATAAAAATAGATGGATGAATGGATGGATAGACTTTGGACTGAGAGTATCAGTACCCTTCAGGATCTAAGTCTGAGTATGCATTATGAAACAGCTCCTCCTGCAGCCTTCGCAGAGCCACCAGTGGATCCTCTTTGAAAGGGGGTTCCTGCTGGGAGGACATTTTGGAGATGTAGCCTTGATCAGATCCACTGCTTGGACCCTTTCCACTGGGTTCCAGAACCTCATCCTCCTCCATCTCCACAGGCTGAGAGTGGCTGATTTCAGATGGAGGGAGATATTCACTCTGCATGCTGGTACAAGAGAATTCTTGAGGTGTTGAGTCCAGTGAGTTGTGTTGGGCCAAGCTTCTCTGGTACGAATGAGCAGAGAGTTGGCTGATAGGTAGCAGGGAATCCTCCTCCTCCTCGGTGGAAATTTGACCCACAGATTCTTCCTTGAGGGAGAGCCAGTTCTGTCTTGGTGGTTGAAGGCTGTTCAAAACAGGTTCCGCTATGTAGACAGATGGACTGGGGCTGTGAGGGTAAAGGTGATCTGGCCACACTTCACTCAGATTTGACGGATACTGATGTTCAAACTCGGGGTACACTGCTGGAGTAAGTTCTACCACTGATGACAGCTCGCGCTCTGGGTTCAGTTCAGGTGTAAGGACATGAACACTGTCGCAATTTTCATGGATTTCTACCTCATGGATGTATACAGGAGGCCCCTCCCTAATTAAAGGAACACACTCTAGGACTGGAGGGATCTGCAGCTGGTCAATGAGTGGGTTAGCCTCAGTCTTGACCTCCTCCTCACTCTCCACACACTCCTTCTCAAACCAATCAGGATTTTCCACCTGGTAGGCCTGGAAGGTTTCAATGGCATTCTTTAAGGCTTTACCTGAGGGACACTCAAAATAATCATCTCCGCCAATGCCTTTGATATGGTTGACCTGACCTGGTTGATACTTCTCCATGTCTAGGATGCGAAAGTACAGCTCTTCAAAATGCTTCATCAGCTTGTATTTGACTGTGATGTCAAAAACTGATGGCACATCTTGATCGCTACTTATGTCATCAAAGTAAGCCACCACGTACTTGCCCTGCATGCCTGGCTGGTACATATCAGGTAGGAAGAGTTTGAGAAAGGGAGTGAGCATATCGTCAGTAGGGGAGAGAACATCTTCCCTCAGTGTCACCCGGCCTTGACCGCACATGGCCTTCCACTTTGCCTGTACTCCTTGCGAGCACAGCACCAGGATTTTGTCTGAAGGATTTTTAAGCTGTTGTCTTTGCCACTCAAGCCAGCAAATGCGCCCCACCATTCCGACCGAGGTGGTGTCTAACAGGTCCACCAGCACCTTGGTGCCACACTTGGCCTGGAGAAAGGCACAGAGCTTTAGCACTACATCCCTGTAGAGGTGGTGGTCTTGGGAGTAGATGACCAGCACTTTGGGAGATTGGTTAAGCTGCTGCTCCCACGGTATCTTCTGTCTGACAGGTGCTCCAAGATCAACAGGTTTGCCTGAAAGTGCATGAAAGGACATATAAATGGCAACAGCAAAATGTACATACATACAAACCAACAACCAAATAATAAACTTACAATGGCCCACACAGGACTCAAATCCAGTCTCCTGGGTGAAAGACCCGTGCCTAGCACTTTTACTCAGTCTCATGGACTTTAATGCTCTTTATAATACGTCACTTGACCTTTGTCAGAAAGCTCTGAAGGAAAACTTCTCCCATGTGCAATGAAAGCAGCTTTTGGCCCTTACAAACACCAAACGATTAAACAGGAATATAATTTACATGAAGATATACACAGTGGATGTACTACCGGGTTCATGAATAGGTTACCAAGGACAAGGTGGGTTCAAGTTGGTATACTGTAAATGGCCAGAAAAAGAGGTGGGTATACCTTGTGTACCTGCGTATACTACACCACTGGATAAACATAAATGGCTTAAACATGTATTTTGTGTACCAAACAAACAAATTGTCAATAAAATGTTGCTGTATTAAGAAATAAACACATGCATTTGCTCTTTTCATAGCAACAATATAACCAATATTTCCCGGTTTTATAGAGCTAGACCTGAAAATGTATTGTATGTGTGACTAACCTCGCTTTCGGCAGAAGATGTACATAGTAACTGCCATCACAACACACATTAATGCCACTCCCAGGGCGACAAAAATGTACAGGTACACAGGGTCATCGGGGGCATCTGTTGGCACCGCTGTGGAAATCAGAACACAATTAACTGATTAGCATTTCCTATTAAGTGATGTTTTAGTCAAGCTAGTGACAAGGCTCTATGGATGGCAAAGTCAGTCGGTTGGTCGTCTGTCAGTATGGCCACTGGATTGATTGCTATGACAGTTTGTACATTTATGGTCATCAGGGCTGAATCTCAATGATTTTGTTGATCCCCTAACTTTTCTTCCTTAGTGCCACTCAGTAACACTTCACTTTTTCACTTCTCTGCTGAAACAGTTCCTACCAAGCATCCGGTATCCACGTCTGTCTGATCTGGTGTAAGTTTAGCCCACAATGGATGTCCGTCTCGGCCCATATTTAGCCCGAATGTCGTCCAATATGTAAAGTACATAACAAATTTAAATTTGATGAAAACTGATGTTTGTGACCACAATAACCAAACTACAGATATTCCCAACTTGATACATGCTCACTGCTGAGATCTCATGTTGGTTAAACAGTGGACTTTTTGAGATCAGTTCTGCCTTGAAGCACATAGAAAGATCTGATCTTATTCAAAGTGTCAGCCTGTGATTTTGAACATATTATTTGAATATAGTCTAAGCCTGTAACTAATGTTTTGAAAAGTATAAATTCACATAATTCTCTAACAGCTAACTGAGTTGGTTCCCACATGATTGGGTCAGGTTTATGTTTTTCAATAACTGATCAAATTTCCATCAAAATGAGTGAAGTAATTCTAGCATAAATCAAAAAAGTACAGTTTATATAATTAAATCAAATCAAACTGAAATAAATACACTGTGAGAATTTGAGTAAATAAAGGTCATAGAATCGATCTAATTTACTTTTTTAAAGTGGATATAATTACTGTTAATAAATAGCAAAATAAATAAAAAAATATGTATTTCAAGTTGTTGAATTTACTTAAATTAGGTTTATGTAATAACTGTTTATAAGCTTAATGTATTTTAAAGATGGTGAATTTACTTTATTAAATTGTATGTAAATTCTGTTATTAAATTCTATATATTTCAAACACGTTGAATTTACTTAAACCAAGTTTATGTAACTATTGTTAATAAATTCTTCATATTTCAAACATGTTGAATTTACTTAAATTAAGATTATGTAATTACGGTTAGTAAATTCTATGTAATCTATACATGTTAAATTAACTTATTTATGGTTTATGTAATTACTGTTAACAAATTCTATGTATTTCAAAAAGGCTGAATTTACTCTAACAAAGTCTACGTGATTATTGTTTATAAATTCAATGTATTTCAAATATGTTGAATATCATCGTATTAAAAATAAATAAAAGGTAATGACATCAACTTTATTAATGTAAATTAGGTACATTTTATGAGCTGGCGTTACATAAATTCCCATAGTCCATTAATCTGTTTTATCTAATTTAATTACAAAAATTGTACTTTTTTGGTTTATGTTAGAATTGCTTGACTCACTTGGAGGAAATTTTATATGTAACTGAAATATGCAAACGATAGACCAAATATTTCCGGGGCGTCGGTGGCTTAGTGGTAGAGCAGGCACTCCATGTACAAGGCTGTTGCAGCAGCAGCCCAGCTTTGACTCCAGCCTGTGGGGTCACTCCCCTTCTCTCTCCCCCCTTCACGCTCTTCTGTCCTACCGATTAAAGGCTTAAAAATGCCCAAAACGTATCTTTAAAAAACAAAACCAAAAAAAAAAAAAAAAAAAAAAATTTCCTTTGGGGGCATTCTCACCGGCTTCAGCTCTACTTTGTATTTACTGCTAAATTGTTTTGTTTCATCCTTTTTCTCACTTAGATTTTCATCCCTCAATAGCAGCTGTACAAGCTGAAATTAAACTGTCTTGGTGTAGGGAGAGTTTATCTATCAGCATTTATCTCTCCTGGCTATCATTTAATACTTTAGTGCCTCCTTTCACAAAGCACACTCCCTCTTCATAACAGCCGCTGTGGTTCAGCAGTGAACACACACCACTGTGGAGGAAGTAGTGTGAGGAATGTTTGTGAACAGAGTTTGCCACACAGGTAGAGCTCCATCTATTTTCACTGACGTGGCCAACTGCTGTGGAAAGCAGGTGTTGCTTGTATGTCCTGATTGATCAGGAGCTTCACCACTGGTAGGTTATCCAAACAGCACTTCTTTTTCCAAATAAAGCCGTATCTTATATGGTTGTGTTTTGTGAGACAAAGACATGTTGTACTGTAATCATCAGACAGCGCCTATAGTTACTTAGCCATGATACTGATTTCTGCCAACATACCAGGACAAATATCCAGAGTTCTCTTTCTACGGACGCAGTCCGGGCCACATTGTGGGAAAAGAGGACTGATCTGCAGAGAAGAATAAAAATCCTGTTAACTCTGACAACAGGGTCAAATGTGATCATAGAGAATGCAGAGGAAAAAAAGTTTAGTAATGCGCTAACATCACACAGCAAAACAGATTTGAAAAGATTTACCTGAGCATCAAACTGGCAGCAAGATCTCGGCCATTTATCAAGGCTGAATGTTACATTCAGGGTCGTCTGATTAGCCTGGAGAAGAGAGTTTTTTTCATGCACATAGTTTTATTATTTAGGCACAGCATTTAGGGCTACATTCACATGAACATAGCTTTGTTATAAAACTGTAAAGTGCTGCAGGAATGAGTCCTAAAACCTGAAAATGAATTAGCATTTTAATGCACTTCTAGTTCTCTCATCTCAAAGATGCCTGAAATAAGGTTTGTGGTTAAAACAAGCTGCAGAGACTTGAATGTTTTTATTCTCTGACATAGAATATGTCAGTAAATACCCCTCTTGTGAATTTTGAAGAGTTTCCTTGTTTCAAAAAGGAAGTTGCTAACAAGTGGCTAGAGGACACTACAGAACGTCATCACGGCAAACACCACTTTACAGCCTCTTAGCGGTGGCAACACTGAAGTCATGCGACTGTGGTGTAGTCATACGGATTACTGTTAATTTATTATGCTGATCTATTCTGTACGACATCTATTGCACGTCTGTCTGTCCTGGAAGAGGGATCCCTCCTCAGTTGCTCTTCCTGAGGTTTCTACCGTTTTTTTTTCCCCCGTTAAAGGGGTTTTTTTGGGGAGTTTTTCCTTATCCGCTGTGAGGGTCCAAAGGACAGAGGGATGTTGTATGCTGTAAAGCCCTGTGAGGCAAATTGTGATTTGTGATATTGGGCTTTATAAATAAAATTGATTGATTGATTGATTGATTGATAGTTTGTTTATACCCTAATGTTAGCATTTTACTTCTGGTGATTACATTTAGGTTTCAAACATAATAAAAGAGGTGTTCATTTGCGAAGATTATCTTGCTGAGCAAAACCTGTAAGTCTCATAAATGTTTGTTTGCCACAGATCCTATTATCTGCAATTATCAAAAATCCAACTGAAAAATCCCATAGGCATTTTGTCGACGAAACCAGGGTGAAATTAACTTCCTGGTCAGCCTACAAGAATGTGTCATCCCTGCACCACTCTAGTGCTACAGTTACACCTAGGGTCCACACCACTCTGGTGTTTAAAAAGCCCTATAACAGAGACCTTTGAAAACACTGCTGACCCCGTTATATTTTGAAAATTGTGGGGTTATGTTTCAGACGGGTGGAAACAGAGCGTTTTGAAAATGATAACGCAGACACCCACATTCACTTCCTGATTGGGTCTTATCAGTCATGACGTTTAAAGCCAAAGCATTAAAGCTAGGTCTGCATATCTTTTGTGATTGCATCATTCTTATGTGGGTACTACTTTCCCATTGCCATGGTTTCCTCTGATATATCACAGTATTTGCTTTCCAACGACTCTTCTTTTCCACAAACAAATCATACTTCTTACTTTTAGCCATCTCCATAGTATTTTCTGTAACTAAGCAACCAACCATAAAGTAGACAACTTCCCTCTGTCAACATCAGCACGCACATGCCCAGTGAAGGTGAATGGTCATGTGATATGTGTTTTTAGGCTTGTTAGTATGGAAGGAGATTATTTTTTAAAATGCTGCTAAGACATTTGAGTGATTGTTTTCATTTTAAAATATAATTTTTCCTTTAATTTGACAGTTTCTTGCGTACATGTAGCTAAGACCAGTGCAGTTTAATATAGCAATCCACCATAAATCACGTGTTTCATTGAGGGTAGACTTTAAATTGTATCCTCTCCTCATATCACAATACAATTCAACAGCACCACAGACTACAGCTTGGTTTGTGCTTTGAAGAGGGGAGCAGAAAGTTTACCCACTGGGCAACAACTCTGTCCACTCTCACTCTGTCTTGTATAATAATGTAGGTACTGGTCAAGACCATTCATTCCTAAGAAAGGACAGAAGTTATCCCTAATGAACTGCAGCTCATGCCTCTGTGAGGAGACATACATTCAAGTAGTTTACAAATATAATGAGCAGCCTTTTTTACAGTCAGTAGAAACAGAGCGCAAGGGCACAGTTTCCTGTACTGACATAAAAAAAAAAACTGGGGTAAAAACTAGGCTAAGGTAAGAAACACAGGATGTTGTAATGAGCACATCCAGTAAGGTTCTGGGTCAAATCACCGAAAAGGAAAATACATTCATCTTCTATGTGAGACAGCCTACTGTGCAAGTAGTCTTCAAATACAGCTGAATGTCCAGCATGATGTGGCCTTACCTTGTATGTACGGACTACATGCTGGGTAGTGGAGCACTTAACAATGACTATGTACTCCTCACAGAGTGTATCAGGAGTGAAGCTGACAGCCAGTGCAGATCTTCCACTGACTGCAGTGATCGGAGTCAGACTGATGTTGGGCTGCCACAGACTTCCTACAGTACAGCAACGAGACAAAGTGTTAGAAGTGTTTTATGTGACTGACTCACTTTTACTGGACTTTGGAATATCAAGGACTCACCTCTCTCTATGCAAAACTGGGTCATCTGCATTCTGGGATCTTGACAATCTGAGTGAACAAGAGAATTAATCAAATCCCGAAGACCAAAAGTTCTGTAAAGTGATGACAACACAGGATGCACAAAATCTTCCTACTTTGTTTATTTCAGCTAAAACATAGTTGTTTTGAGTTTAGGAAGTTGCGCAAGAGCTGCATGAATCATCTCACAATGTATTCTGTTTCCAGATCTGTGTGCTGCCTACGACTTCTGAAGCTGCTGACTTGGTATCCATTTCAGATACTTCATATTTCAGTACTGTTCATAATCCTGTATATTCCAGTTAACTACTTCATTTAGGCTCCACACACACACACACACACACACACACACACACAGAACAGATTGATAAGATGAGTCACATATGAACAAATACAAAAACTGGGAGATGTATTTAATTAAACACAAATACAGAAACACATTTAATTAGAATTATCGCCCCATTGTTATATGCCTCCACAACCTGTTAAGTTTCTCTCACAGTTTATATCCATGTCTGTGAAACCATGGATGCTTCACACACATCTTCCCCCCGACAGCACAGAAGATCTATACAATCAGCACAATTTCAAGGTGGACACCCATGATTAGAGTCACCAATTCACTATCTGACCAAATGTCTCCCCTTCTGTTCCTGAGATATGACTAATTAGACATTTGTGTGAAATTTTATCATAATTAGAGTTATGGCCTTTTTTATTTTTAAGATCACTGTGACCTTGACCATAAAATTCTTATCAATTCATTCTTAAGTCGAGGTGGACGTTTGGGCCAAATGTGAGGAAATTCTCTCAAGGTGTTCTTAAATAATCACGTTCATTAGAATGAGGATGATGCAAGGTCACAGTAACCTTGACCTTCAACCACCTAAATCTAATCAGTTCATTGTTGAGTCCAAGTGGACATTTGTGCCAAATTTACAAGGCGCCCTTGAGATACTGCATTCATAAGAATGGGACGGACAAACAAATGGACAGACAACCCGAAAACATAATGCCTTCACCCACAGCTGTCTCTGAGGCATATGAAAATAACACCTAACTAACCCATAGGGTAAACCAAACAGTGATAGGAGTATGAACAAACCAGAAACTCTTCCTGGGGCTTCTGCTCAATCCAAAACAACAACAAAAACCAACTGCTAAATTTGACCATAGACTGTATAAAATAATGGACGTAGCCATCATGACACTCATTAGATTGTAATGAGAGTTTAGCATTCAGGCCGTTGCCATCTTGGATTTTTGGAGCCAAAACTGATCATATTTGGGTGAGAGACAGGAGTAAACCCAAACGCTAGCTGCTAGCTTAGTTAGCACAGTGCCTGTATAGCTATGGTTAACTGTGATACTGGTAATGTAAATGCTAATTTTCACTGCTACAAAACAGGCTTAAAACCATTAATATAAAATGTATATACCTGAAAACCTGAATATCCGACTCCTCAGAGTGTGAATTTGGGGTTACACCAAGGTTTCATTACCTAACCAATGCTGTACCATGGTAGCAACTTGTCAGGGTATGGCACCCACCTGTCACTCGGAGTGGCCATGCCCTTAATTATGTGTAACTTAACTTATGCTTTAATAACATATAAACAGGTGAGTTTTATAAGAATTCATCCCCTGTATAGTTGTAATGAATGGAGAAATTAGCTATAGAGACCAGAAATGTTTTTGTACCTGGCTGTAAACATGTTTATTTCCGCTGTAAAACTGGACATGTTAACATGGGGGTCTATGGGGATTGACTCGCTTTTGGAGCCAGCCTCAATGGCCATTAGAGGAACTGCAGTTTTTGGTTCTTCGAGGTTGCTGCTTGTTCCTGGTACATGCCCTCAGTCCAAAACAACAACCAACTGCTGGCTTTGACTTCAACTCACCAGGAACGCTGACATCTCTGCTGATGTCGTACATGCTGTGGCCCATCTCTGGTTTGGGGATGTTGAAGACAGAGACATGGTATTTTTGACCAGGGTCCAGCACCAGCATGTTAGCTGAGAATGACCACTGAAAACACAAAATAGCACTAGCTGTCAATAACTTCCAAACAATACATATACAGTACATACATACAGTACAGGCCAAAAGTTTGGACACACCTTCTCATTCAATGCGTTTTCTTTATTTTCATGACTATTTACATTGTAGATTCTCACTGAAGGCATCAAAACTATGAATGAACACATGTGGAGTTATGTACTTAACAAAAAAAGGTGAAATAACTGAAAACATGTTTTATATTCTAGTTTCTTCAAAATAGCCACCCTTTGCTCTGATTACTGCTTTGCACACTCTTGGCATTCTCTCCATGAGCTTCAAGAGGTAGTCACCTGAAATGGTTTCCACTTCACAGGTGTGCCTTATCAGGGTTAATTAGTGGAATTTCTTGCTTTATCAATGGGGTTGGGACCATCAGTTGTGTTGTGCAGAAGTCAGGTTAATACACAGCCGACAGCCCTATTGGACAACTGTTAAAATTCATATTATGGCAAGAACCAATCAGCTAACTAAAGAAAAACGAGTGGCCATCATTACTTTAAGAAATGAAGGTCAGTCAGTCCGGAAAATTGCAAAAACTTTAAATGTGTCCCCAAGTGGAGTCGCAAAAACCATCAAGCGCTACAACGAAACTGGCACACATGAGGACCGACCCAGGAAAGGAAGACCAAGAGTCACCTCTGCTTCTGAGGATAAGTTCATCCGAGTCACCAGCCTCAGAAATCGCAAGTTAACAGCAGCTCAGATCAGAGACCAGATGAATGCCACACAGAGTTCTAGCAGCAGACCCATCTCTAGAACAACTGTTAAGAGGAGACTGCGCCAATCAGGCCTTCATGGTCAAATAGCTGCTAGGAAACCACTGCTAAGGAGAGGCAACAAGCAGAAGAGATTTGTTTGGGCCAAGAAACACAAGGAATGGACATTAGACCAGTGGAAATCTGTGCTTTGGTCTGATGAGTCCAAATTTGAGATCTTTGGTTCCAACCGCCGTGTCTTTGTGAGACGCAGAAAAGGTGAACGGATGGATTCCACATGCCTGGTTCCCACTGTGAAGCATGGAGGAGGAGGTGTGATGGTGTGGGGGTGTTTTGCTGGTGACACTGTTGGGGATTTATTCAAAATTGAAGGCACACTGAACCAGCATGGCTACCACAGCATCCTGCAGCGACATGCCATCCCATCCGGTTTGCGTTTAGTTGGACGATCATTTATTTTTCAACAGGACAATGACCCCAAACACACCTCCAGGCTGTGTAAGGGCTATTTGACCAAGAAGGAGAGTGATGGAGTGCTGCGGCAGATGACCTGGCCTCCACAGTCACCGGACCTGAACCCAATCGAGATGGTTTGGGGTGAGCTGGACCGCAGAGTGAAGGCAAAGGGGCCAACAAGTGCTAAACACACCCTGATAAGGCACACCTGTGAAGTGGAAACCATTTCAGGTGACTACCTCTTGAAGCTCATGGAGAGAATGCCAAGAGTGTGCAAAGCAGTAATCAGAGCAAAGGGTGGCTATTTTGAAGAAACTAGAATATAAAGCATGTTTTCAGTTATTTCACCTTTTTTTGTTAAGTACATAACTCACATGTGTTCATTCATAGTTTTGATGCCTTCAGTGAGAATCTACAATGTAAATAGTCATGAAAATAAAGAAAACGCATTGAATGAGAAGGTGTGTCCAAACTTTTGGCCTGTACTGTATACATACAAACTGAAAAAAATACTATAAAATAAATGTTACCTGTATGTATAAAAAATATAGAATGTTACATCATAATGGCCATGAAATTTGATAATGTCACTGTAAGTGCTATGTAAGTTGTTGTGAGCCACCCACCTTCTCCCCTGATGGACTCCTCATTGGGAGCCTGTCTTCGAAAGAATATCGAACACAAAGGTTCTGGTTGGTGGTGATTACCAGAACATGAAGCTCGGTGGCTTTCAGCCCAGCGATGCTGCCTGAGGAGAAACACAGCAGAGGTCACTTTCTGTCTTCACTGCAGCACATCAAATAAAGCTTGTCATCACCGACAATTACAAATCCATTTTCCTTGTCTTATTACTCCTTCTTGCATCTTGCATCATTTTTATGTCATACTTGAGACAGCAGACTGACTCACCATCATCCCTTATCGTCCAGTTTGCCATCAGGACAGGCTGAAGCTGTCCTGCCTCATCCCGCCTGGTGTCCACAGACACCTGCAGCCCCTCTGGACTGCTGGGAGTGTACTGATGCACACGGAGCCATTCACTGTCCATACAGTTACCTGCACAGACACACACACATTGAAGGTCAGAGAGCTTGGATTTTCCACGCACATTCTATCATTGTTTCTTCATTTAAATGCAAGGAAGTATTTGGGGGGGAAGAAAGGATGCTTATTATATTACATTCAATTTCTGCCAATATATTCCCCTAAATCCTACACACTGGATCTTTAAGACAGAGAAAGTATGTGCCTAATATTGGTGACTAAATATGTCTAACAATATTATTATAACCCTTCAGAATCCAAACATTAAATCTGTGAAGGTAAGGGTGCAGACTACTGAGCAGTGTTCTGCTTTCTCAACATGTGATGAAATATAACAAGGATAAAAGTACAAGGAAGGAAGAGTAAAATGTACTCACTGGTGTTGACTCTGCACTTCAAACCCTATCACAGGAAAAAATGGAGAAGATTATACACTTAAAAAATTTTACTTAAGTGATAAGTCAACTTTTCAGCATCACACAAAACACTATTAAACATTATATCAATATCAAACATCAACACTGACAAAGGAGTTAAGGGCAGTAAAGAAGCCGTCCCTGCTTTGGTCAATCATCTATTTATTACTCTTAGGCACTTCATATTATAGATGTGTTTTCTTGATATTGGTCCAGTTAATACCTACTGATACATGTTTTGTATTTTTTTCTCTTCTATGAGATGTTTGTCTATGATTACCAGGATTCTGCTTGGTGCTCTGGTGATTACCTAATGCCATGCAGCTGTGTGATTAGTAGTGGAGGTTATTTCTGCATGTCTCACCCTGCTTTTCTGTCTTTTCACACACTGAGGAAGACACTTGTCGAAACCGGTCTGTGTGTTTAACCGTCTGTACCAGTGAGGTATTAAAAGTTGCCTACGAAGGACACCGAGTGTTGCTGGCTTTTTCTTGTTTATACTTTTGCTTGCAGCCAATCAATGCATGTTTTCTTTCATTTAATGCAACACATGATTGGTCCACTAGGGCAGCTGCTGCAACCTGTGCAGTCTGTGGTGTGGTGAAGTCGAGCGTGATGTAATTACAAAGTAGGCAGTTCGGCATTCCAAGGTGCTACCAGGATGTTTGAGAGTATGGCTACACCACATGCCTGTGGCATCTGGTGGCATGTTATGCACATGATTCCATTCACATGATGGGTATCATGTGAAGAGGAAACAAAAGGTATCAACTGACACACTTTGTTGGTATTGATATCATCTGGTGCTGGAACAATACCCAGCGCTTATTTTAATTAATAGTTTGAAACTGCTAGCTAACCTGAGCTGATGATACAGTTCAGCTGAGAAGGAAACCATTATGTTTACATCGATAAACATTATGGTTTCCTCCTCAGTTGGCAGTTGGAAAGTAAATAATTTCCCTAGAAAGAAAATAGTTCCTCTATGAAACTGCGAAACTGCTCATAACAAGGTCTGTGGATGGATGGTCTTGATGATTTTTGGAGAGATACATTGTTGTTGAGTTATTCAAATGTATTTTTGGGCACTTTGACCACCTCAGGCCAAATGCCATCTAGATCCATTATATTGGGGAGAAGGCAGACATCTTTACAGTAAACATCTCCAACACTCGGCAACTCACACCAAAACTATCTAGACTGATAAACAGCACTACAGATAAGAGGAAAAATATGTGTTTCTGATTTTGGGGTGAACTGTCCCTTTAAAAATCTCTATTCTTCTCTAGTTTTAGAAAACGAATCAACTTTTTGTGACGTGATTTTCATGTTTTGTTACATATTATTGTTACCACATCAAGAAAATGCTGTCATAATTATTGCAACTATTATTTTGTCCACATTACAAGCCCCATAATTACAACCAGAAAAGTGCTTCCTGTTTAAATAACATTTAAAATAACCAAATAGAAATAAAAAATACAGTGCTAATACAGTACAGTGGAGAATCATAAACCTGACTAAATTCAGTAAATCAGTATTGGCCGAACATGAACACCTTGAACAGTCAGTTTATTGAAAGTGAGCTTACCTGTCTGGAGCAGTTGAGGGGAGGCCATGTTGAAACCCTCACCGCGCACGACAGCGACACACACACAAAAACCAAAACTGCTCGAAGAACTATCATTATGAAGTTAGAATACTGTCAGTCTAAGTCCCTGCCATTAAAAAAACATTTCAGACAGAGGTCCACACTAAAGAGAAAACACACTGAGAGAGAGAGTAAGTGACTGACGGTCGTGTTGTTAACAGTAAAACTTCCTGCTATCTATGTAAATCACCTGCTCTGTTTACAGTAAGTTACCTCATGCTGCATTCAGGTCGCTTGGGAATGTAGAGTACTATTGTGTTGATTTTAGCCAAGGCTATTATAGATTACTAAAACTGAACTCAAAGCTAAAACTACATGTGACAAAGCATTTTAGTTAACTGAAATAAAAATAAAACACTTTAGAGCTAATGAAAACTAACTGAAACCGTATTATGTTATTACAAAACTCAATAAAATGAAATAAAAATATACAGGAAATGCCTTTAGTTTTAGTCTCTGTCAATTTGATCAAATTGTCAACATAACAAGAATGAGGAGGCATTAGTGGGCATGTTTATTGAGGCTGGGATGTTCATATGACTATGAGTCAACAGCCTTCACAAAGTGTTGTGTTTGTATTGTATTGCTGAACTTCAGAAATCTTGCCCCAAATAGCCCCCATATTACTAAAAATATTATTTAAAAAAAAAAAAAAACAAGCAACCCACCCTGGGGAATGACTGAAAACAAACTGAATTGAGAACAAAATGAAATAAAAATAAAAATGAATGAAAAATACAAAAAAACAAAAAAAAAAAAACTATAACAATTCTGATCTGGCTGCCTTTGATAATTATCTAAACTGCATAATGGACATGAAGTTACGTCCATCACAGTTGTATTGTAATGCCAATTTAATTTGAAAGCTTATGCTAGACAACTGAAATAACAAATTTGATAATTTCCCCAGCATAATGTTTAATTCCTTAAGAACAGGTGCAACACATCAGATATTTATGTGAAACAATGTTTCTTCTCTGTCCAAGGTTGTAGCCACAATTTTGGCAGCACTGCAGCCATGATATTCAGTCTGTCCCACCATCCTCAACCTTCTGTACATGCATGTCTGTGCATTTGAGACCAAACATAGGTCTAATGATCCAGTACAGTATTTGTCTCAAATTATCCAAGTATTGAAATGAGCCTAATGAGCAAACTATGTGAGTTCAACAACACGCACATACATTTTGTCAGGCAGGCCCTGGATAATAGAGTACTGTAGACTTAAAACAGAAAACTACAAGAAAGTTACAATGTCCTCAATATCTAAAATTTCCTTTCACAAGCATTTCGCTTCACATATTAACAGTGCACATACTAAAATGCCTAACAGCCTCATAACAGCCGCATACTATTTTTTCCCATAGATCTTGAATGCGACATGAATAATAATTCTCTTCCTTGTAGAGTGCAAGCGCTCAGAGAGTCATGTCCCTGAACTTTCACACAACTTCAAAGAGACACTTCTGCGTGATCTTTTTTCTTCATCCTGATAATCGAAATGACGTGATCATATTTTTATTCCATTTAGCCTGTATTTACCATCACAATTAGTCAGGGTGAAACCCACTCTAAAGGAAACATATTAGTCAGCCTCCCACAGAACATTATGAAATATCAACTGAACAGTGGGGGAAGAAGAGGGGGAGTAGGACGTGTTGACCTTCCACATGTTCACCACCAGATGGCATAACAAGACTTATCTGCACCTCTTTGACAGTTAGTGGACTGCTGTGGGCTGTGCATTGGAGTCACCAGACACTTGCATTTCTGCCATATCTCATGTACATTGATGGGTTGAATTCCGAGTGCAGAAAGAGTAACATTTCTTCAGCATCTCCAGATAAAGATGCAGGCTTGATGTTTCTTATCTGGTGCTATGTAACTGACAAGGGCCTTGACTTTAAAGTCAGATTTTTCTTTAACAACAGAGCCCTTGTGTATCTCAAAGACGAGCTTGGGGGAACTCATTACCATAAGACTCGAGCTAGTTTTTGCCAACTTGCACTAACTGACATGTAATACCTCAGTAAGAACAATGAGGTTTTGGACTGAGGTGTAGAGCTTAGATCTGGCCCAAAAAATCCAGCCTGACCCCACCCAAGCCCTTGCATGTTCTGTCCGAGCCCAGCCCAGCCCGTCCCTCTAACTGTAATTATGATCCCAAGCCCGGTTTAAACCCAATATTTTTTTTAGGATTGGGACGTTACAAGGTCCCTGTGTTTTTGTTTTCATATACCAGCATCGTGCTGCACTTGGTACACTTGACTAGACTGACACACATGTTGTCACCGTTGACAACTAATTTAAAGCTGTCCCAAATCTCGGACTTCCCTTGAGATTGGGTCAATTTAAAATCTCCTGAGGCTATTTTTTCTTGACATCCAAAGGCTCCATTTTGCTCGTTAGGCCTATGCGCAGCAGGTCAAGTGTGATGTGTGCGAGGGGAGGAACTCACATGTGCGCGGCCAGTGGGGCCGTAAAGTGGCGGTCTCGGGCAGAGAATCTAAGCTCTACTGAGGTGGGACCAAGTCATTGTTTTTGCAAGTCACAAGTAAGGCCGAATTTGTAGGATTTGTAGGATTCTCCATCATTGAATCAGGATTTCACCATTTGAGGGGATGTGCATCTCCATTATAGAACAGCCAATAGGAACACCCTCTCTCTGAAATGACCTGTGACTTGCCAAGGTTTCCCGCCAGAGGATAGATTTTCTAAAGCCTGAAAACAGAGCCAAGAGGAGGAAGAGAAGTCTAGGGTTCTCTCTGTCCACTTAAATTGCAATATGCTCAAAGGTAATGATGGGATTTTTGCCCGATGACGCCACAATGACACAGCCTACCCCTGCTTTAGACAACCATCACTAAATCAAAGAAAAGGCTGTCCCCGACCTGACAGGATAATCTGCCACACCTGGATCAAATACATCCCCAGTCTTCAAAGCCAATGAGTGAAAGCTACAGTCATGGATCAGTGTGCTGCTGCAGCAGAGCAGGGCCTGGTCATGCGGGCCCTGCTCTGCTGCAGCAGCGTGTGTCTGCTGTATTTGGTGAGGGCTGCCTTCACAGAGTCCAGGTGTGTGTACTGATGTTTCAGCAGGTTGGGCAGAGATAGACCTACCAAAGATAAGATAAAGATTCTATTCAGGAGAAGTGAGCATGTGGACAGTTGGTGACAACATGTAAGAGATGGAGGCTGCTGATTTGAACTGACTGACAGGATCCTTCAGCACAAGCTGGTGAGGTAACTGTGGGATGAAAATGCTGGATGATGACTAGCTAAATCAAAACATTTGAAAACAACTCAGTGTGTATTTGTGTTTTCGTTTCAAATACACAAGTGAAAATGAATGTTGTCAGTTCTTTTTTACATCTTATACATTAGTGAGGACCATAAAAGACAAAATTCGCCCAGCTTTAGATTTAACTCTTAAAACATCCAAAGGGCCTGATCTAAAGCTCTGATAAATTCATATGGGATAAGCAAGTCAGAGAGGTATTGTGTACTAACTGGAAGCCTATACAAAGATGCAGGTATAGATACAGATATACTGTATTTGATTCTAGCCAAGGACCTTTGTTGCATGTTTGTCACCTTCTCTTTACCCTTATTTCCCCAAATATAGTTTTAAAAGGTCTAAAAGCAGGTATTATGTGATCAAATCTGGTTTATTATTGTTAGGACTCTGTCTGGCAGTATGTGTTCAGAGGCCTTCGCATCAGGAAAACAGGCCTGGATCCGAGTACACTTGGCCAAACCATCCAGTTCATTTGATTATTGTGAACACTGTGTATTCTACCTGCGCGGCACAGTGAATTTGCATTTTCTAGCATAGTGAAGGCATGACCCACCCTACTCTCCTTCTGATTGGCTTGTACTTATTGCCTTCTTGGGTTGGTTAAGTCTAAGCGAAATTTGTACTTCTGCGTTGATGCAGAGCCTATGCTGCAGGTATGGTGCCGCTTAGCCGACTTGTCAATTAGCCTACGCTGTAACCCATGCTGTTGCCTGATGTGCACCCCCCCCAGAAATGTAATCACACGTCATGGCAACACAGACCTCCTGTCTGTTTTTGTAAGTTGAAACCATTTCCCTCAGTGGAAACAAAGCTTTTAATTACATTTATTTCACAGATAAGAAACAATAAATGTTGAAGACAATAAAGTCCCCACAAAGCATTTTAAGTCTCGTGTGTGATTTATCCTGGCTTCATATGAGTAGAGGAAATCTCCGCTTGGCGCTAGGCTAATTTATACAATGTAAAATGCCATAGGCTTGTGCTAACAACGTTAGCATATTGTATTTGTTTGGAAGGGTGTAGAATATGACGGTTGTTTTGTCAGTGAACCTTGTGAGCTGTAATGGAGCCAAATTTTGAAACGTTACCTTTGTTAAATATTGCTCCTGTCCCTGGCTCCATGTGAGTAGCAGAAATCTCTTGCAGCTAGCCTAATTTATACAATGTAAAATGCCATAGACTTGTGCTGTTGTATTTGTTGTGAAAATGTGGCCAGCAAAGGACAAGTGTTTTGTGTGAATCCTGAGAGTTATAGTGAAACCGTTTTGTGTACTTGTGCTTGAAATCATGGGTATTAAGCCATGTTTAATATGTGTTTTGGGTGTGTTTTGAATCAACAACCTTTACAGCACTTCACAGAAACCCCACCACTGACTAACGTTTTGGAGGTGTAACTGCAGAGTGACACAGATACAACACCATACAAGTATAAATGCTCACAACGGCATAGGTCACATGCATAGGCTACAGTGTAGGCTCTGCATAGAGCTGACGCACAAGTATAAATTTGCCTTTAGGCAGGATGAGTGAGGTTGGTTATGGATAGGGTACAAATGTCAGGGTAAACCAAACAAACGTGTGGTTTGTCAATCCATGCTCAGGTCCACTTGGAAAGGTGGTCTCAAGTACGGATAATGTGTATTCGGGTATAGTTTGATCAGGTGTGAAAACCAGCTGTACCAGAACATGGAAGTTGAGTAGCAGTCGGTGAATAGAGTTTGCAATTTCTCAACACCAACAGTCTCCTCTAAAATCTGCATATGTGCTCAGCAACATCCACTGATCTCATCCTTTTAACTGCACAGCCATGGGTAATAAAGTAGGAAGGCAGGCTAAAAAAGATGGACCTACCGTCTGTGTTTGGCTACTTCTTGCTCAGTGC